TTCCCTCCTTCCTTCTCCATCTCAACCATGAATCTTCTGCTCTTACTTTTATTAATTGCTGCATTAATCACCAGTCAGACTGAGCTTTCCAAAATGAAATGACCACTCCATGGCAACATCAGCTCTGTGGTTTTGCCTGGGAATATCACATTTTATCATCCAAATGCCATCACTTTATTTGTTTTACATGCTGTGCAAGTGATGGGGAAAGGCTTGTTGCTGGAGGTCTTGCTTTGACACCCATCTGAAGGTCAGGTTAAACAAATGCCAAATAGGAACAAGATTTGTCTAATTGGTGGAGGGAAACAGTCAACCTGACACCTCAAGGTGTCCTGCAGCACTATTTTTTCTCTGGTTTTAAGATTTTATGACATATTAGAGAAGACAGCATAATTACAACTTCAGCTGAGACGTAGTTATAAAATCAACTTGCTGTAATTGAGTACAGACACTACAGCAAGAGGTGTATCAGTCTTAAGTAAATATTGTAGCAGTAGAGGGACTTGGAGAATCATTAAATTTCACAGAAAGGCATGAATCTTGAAATTAAAGAAGTAATAAAACTGCTATCAACAGCAGCAGTAACAGCAACAACATGGTTATTAAAAACAGTAATTATTTGCCTTGAAAGTCTGTCTAGAAAGCTTGGGAGTGAAATATAACTACCTGCTTTTGTTCATTCTGTATGCAGGAAAGAAAATGGTGTTTCCTCAGAGACCTGAAAATACAACTTTTGTTTTGTAGGTGTTTTTGTTCTAGGGATGGATGACTACATGTTGGTGTTCATACTTCCACTTAGCTGACTGCTAGATTGTCTCAACAAATCAAATCAAGTATCTACAAATCTTTCACAAATTAATTGCACATGAAAAACACTAAAAATGGAAGTGTCTCCAAAATCTTGGTCTGTGACACCAGAAGCCAGACTGGTTGGTAGGCATTTTTCCCCTCAGGAAATGATATATGGCAACCATATTTCATGTGTTGGTCATTAATTTAGAGGAACTCAGTTGTAGTGTTTTGCCAGGGTTTGCCTAAAGTCACTTCATATTATTCAATAATTGTCTCTCTGCAGAGCTCTGAGTCTTGCCTGAGCTGGGGCAGAAATTCAAAAACTAGTGTCTGATCTTTGCATTACTTTTAAATGACTACATAATGAGCTATGGGGAGATACCTGGATCTCTTTTCACCTCTGGATCCTGATGAATATCACAAACCATTCAAGTTTTTGCTCTTTTGGTTTTGCCATCATCAGATTCACCTCAGAATTATTCCCTTTGATAAATCCTTCCCATTCTGTGTTTCACCTTTCAGTGAGCTCTTCTGTGGTCCAGCAGGCCCTTGGTCAGCAGCCAGCAGTACCCACTGCTCTGATGCTTTATTCCCAAGAGTCATAAGGAGTCAGACAACAGGATTATCATCCCAAGACTTGCTGGCATTGCAAAATAACAATTTTTCAATGGCTTGATTATTTTTTAAATCACTCTACCCCCATCTGCTTGCCCATGGTTGTGGTTTTGTCTGATAGACAAGAGCCAGTCTTGATGAAAATGGAGAAACAATGGAACGCGGAGGGAGAAATTTTGGTTTTGCTGTATCCACAAGAGGCATTTAAATAGGATTGATGGAGTGTCACTGTCATATTTTCTGGAAAAATCCCTTCACCAGGATGTCTCCTCCTGGGAAGATGAGAAGCCTCAGAGAAAAATGAAAACAATAATTATCTGAGTGCTTCTCCTGTGTTTGCTGCTTGGAATGTGGTCTGGAGATTGTTTACCAACAGGTGATTGTTTAATTGGTTCCACGTGAATTGTTTTTACTTAATAACCAATCACCATCAGAGCTGGACTCTCAGGAGTTAGTCATGAGTTTTTATTATTCTTCTTGTTAAGCCTTCTGTCTGTATCCTTTCTCTTTCTTTAGTATAGTTTTAGTGTAGCATTCTTTAATATAATATAATATAATATAATATCATAAAATAATATATCGGCCTTCTGAGAACATGGAGTCAGATTCTCAATTCCTCCCTCGTCCTGGGGACCTCCCAAACTCAACAGTGGAACAAAACCAAAAAGAGTCATCCAAACTCTCGTTAGCCAGTTCTATGGACTCTGTGCTCACTTTCTCCCATGTACACATCAGTCAACCACCCTGCTTTCACTGAGGCAGATGGGATAGGGGAGGACACCAGTGGCAAATGCTTGGTAGCCAAGCCTGTCCAACAAACAGAGACTTTTAGAGCAGGATTCAGAATGCCCTTGAGAGGTCTGCAAGGTGACAGGACTTGCATAGCTGGAATTTAAGCTCAGCCCAGCCTGTAAGTGCAAGAAAAACGTTACACAAGGCACATAAAGCACACCAGGTTTTGTCTGGCAAAGCAGCTATGCCTGAAGCCCACCCTTTGGAATTCACAGCTATTTTTTCCTCGCTGCAGAATGGCTTCCCCCATCTTCAATGGCTGCTGTGCACCTGGGGAAGTTTTATTTTCTGTCTCCCTCCTCCATGTCCTGCTGTAACTCTCGTCCTGCAACCATCAGCTCCTCTCCTACACCCTCCTTTGCCTGTTGCTTGCTGAGTTATTTCCATTCCTGTCACCCTGCTCCCATCACTTCCTTAAAACATCCCTGGATGCTGCTGTGTCTCCTCACCACCCACCACCTTTCTTGTTTCATGTCCTGATGCTGGGAAGAACTTCAAGATGCATAAACCAAAATTATTCAGCTTGGTGCCTATGGAGGGCTGAGCCAGGGAGGTTTTGTTGTACCTCTGGAAGTATGGGGGCTCAGGGAAGGCAAAACTGATCAGGCAGCTTGATACATCAAACCACATCTCTGTCAAACAAACAAACAAAAAAAACTAGCCTGGAGAGATATATGACTTATTGTTACTTTATTAACAACGTGGCTTACAACTGTTTCAAGTAAAAAGGGATTTCATTCTGAATAAAAATTAAAATATAACTCTGAATATAGATTTTCACTTATTTACATGGAAACATATATACAGAATAGAATCTTACAGCAAACTGACAACATGCCCTTCGCCCTGGGAACTTGAAAAAGTAAAAACACCAGCATTGATTGGTTGATATGTATATATATATACACATACATATACACGCACATATATATACATATATATATACACACATATGTATCAACACACCAAAGGGATTATGTACACAAACTTGGGGTCAAAAACCTTCAGTACAAACTGGAATGCAGAACAATTCAAAGTTTTCCAACATGCACCACCACGAATGGAGGGTAACTGCTGGTTGTGGAGCCAATTCCTGCTGCTCCAGGAGAGACAGGAGGGTTTAAGTGCTTGCCTTGTCCTACACAAGGCACATGAAAAGCCTCAACTCCCCTCCAAGGCTGCATTTGGGACTGTCACCTCCCTTGGAACACACAGGGCACCCCTGCCTGTGCATGTCAAAGTGCCATGGTACCATTCCCACACCATTCCCCAGGTGTTTTCCAGAAAGCAGGTAGGTCCCTGAAGGTGAAGCTGCTGGAACAACTTGGCACATCCTGACCAGGTCAGGCAGAACAGGGATGGGGAAATGGAATGCACACATTTACAATGTATAAATTACAGACATTTGTATGTCCATAATCTCCAGTGAGGCTGGAGCAACAAGAAGCAGGTGGGGTGCCCTGGGAATGAGCATTTTCATCCTGTCACATCACAACACAGAGCAGAGGGTTCTGCACATCCACAACCTGAACTCAGGGCAGTGTCACCTTTTCCAGTGGGAGACAGCTCAAGTTTTAGCCTGGTATTTCCTATGGAGGCCTGGAAGGTGCAAGAGGAGAGTCTTCAGCTCCCAAACTCCAGAAGACACACCAGAGTTGGGTACAATGAAAAAAGACTGATTTTCCCTCCTATCCAGCCAATGAGCCTAGAGATATCTGAGTCAGATTTCTCTGTCTCCACTGGGAAATAAAAAATAGAACTTTTCAGTATTGTAGCTCTGAGTCTATTGCCAGCTTCCTTCCCTCCTCTCACCTGGCCCCTGCTGGGACTCAAACACCATTTTTGCTGTGAAAAAGAAAAGCTTTCAGGGATGATGCTCACAGAGCCCAGCTGTGCTGCTGTTCTGAGAGCTCTCTCTCCACAAAGACAACTCAAGTCCAGAACTCCAGGCTCCCTCCTCTTGAAGCCCCCTCTCCCTCCTATCCCACATCCTTGGCAGTGATCAAGACTTACCTTTTTCACTGCAAAAATTAACACCATAGACTAAAAAAAAGAGAAAGGCCACGAGTATTTGTAACTATGACCCAGGTTCGTGCAGCTCATCTGTCTTCTGCAAGAGGATTCCCATGCATGGCATCAAATCACTGCAAAACCACTCATTCTGCAGGACAGCTGACATTTTTAAAGCCTTGCTGGGCTATAAAATTCTCATCTTTGATGACTGGCTCATATTCTATATGCAGCCATTAACACCATTTACACTTCTTGCTGGAGTATTGCACCAAAAAATAAATGAGACCATTAAAGGCTTCTGCTCCTTTACAGGGAGTTCATGAGCACCTAAGGACACAAGCCCTCTCTTGTGAAGTCTGACAGACTGCAGCTGCATTTCTGCCTGCTAGCAGAAGGAGGCATTTAAATTTTCTGTTAATTAAGTGCAGACTTTTTGACTTCTATGTGAGCAAAACTGGTTCCACAACCCACACGTCTTGAGGGCCCTAACACTAACCTCAGTTATTTCTGGATCAAATCCTGAGTAACAGATTCCTTTAGTTCTGGGTCAGGTGATGTGATAAAGAATATTAGTGAGGGGGAAAATATACATGCATCCACATTTTGAGAGAATTTTTACATAAACATACTGTATAAAACATCTCCTAAACACCCAGTATTGTGGGTGAAGGAGTATTTGTTGAGTGTATCCAAGTTAAAAAGTGTACAGTCACAAGAAAAAGAAAAAATAAATCTAATGTTCAAGATGTTGCAGATTACAGAAAATATTTCCTGGAGTAAGGAATCAGCTTTGCAATCCCAAGCAATGGAAAATACAGCGTGACAGATCTTAGCACCAAAATGGAGCCCTTGGGACTGTATTTATCCATGCATAATAAAGCTGGTTTCAATGGTGTTCAGTTGCAGCATGTTGTTCTCTTTTGGCACTTGAACTTGGAAATGAAAGGAACACACTGAGTTCAGAGTTTCCACGCGCACTGCACCAGAAAAGCACAAAGTATTTGAAGTGCCCTGATTGCACAGAGCTTCTGAAACACTGAGATGGCACAGCAGCTCTGCCAAATTCCATTTTGTGCCCTGAAAAGACCAAGGCAGGCTTTAAGGTGAATAAATGTTGATGATGGCAGCCCAGAATTGCCTGGTTTGCCTTCAAAAGGCTGAGATGGGGACACCACACAACTGGGACTGCAACAGGATGAAGGTTAAAGCCAAGGAATGGTGACTTTCCAGTTTAAGGCAAATCAGCTGTTTGCCCAGAGTAAAATAAAGGAGTTTAGGTGTCCCACCGAGAAACTTTTTAAATCCCACCAGGCATCCAAATACATCTGCTAGGGTGGGTCAGGCCATCTCAACTGGGACATGCATCTACTGAGAACTTCACTAAGGACAGGGTGTGGCTGGATTTTGGTGTTTTCTGAGGGCACACAGCATTTTTAGGGGTTTTCTGCACCCTGCAGGACCAAACTATCAAGGGTTATGGAATATGGATAACACAAAAGAGATGAAAACCCTGAAATCCTCCTTTGTGCCTCTAAGAGGTAGGAAAAGCCAGGGTTTGTGAGCTGAAAAAGGAAGAAACGCTCCGAAATCAAAGATCATTTTTCTTGAAGAGCATCCATGACAACAGGAGGAAGGCAGGACAACCAAGCAGGAAATCATGGATACTCCTTAAGTTAATGATTTCATCCAATTTCAGAGATTGATGCTTTGGGTCTGAAAAGTGGGAATTGGCTGATTCTGCCAAGGTAAGGGCTGTGAAGGGAGCAGGACCTGCCCATGGATCTGTTCAGCCTGAGTGCAAGCTCCAAAGAAGCCAGTGCAGATCAAGACGAGCAGGCACCATACACCCTTCAGCCCCCTATTTTTGTTCCAAAAATGCTCATCTTTGGTCCTGTGCCCGAAGAGAGTCCAGGAACACCTGCACAGCCTCCCTGTGGGAGCAAAGTGTCAGTGTCAGTGTGCTGAAGGTCAGCATGCAACAGCCCAGAAATAACAGCAGGGCTGCTCCCCAGCCCTTGGTGGTGGCCTGGGATAACCACGAGTTCAGCACTTCTCAGCAGTGGAATTTTGCAGCAGGTAACACAACAAACTTCAGGCCTGGATACCAAATTCTCAACAGGGAGGGGAGATGTGGCTTCACCACTGCCATTAGTGCATCTGTGGAACTGCAGCAGCTCTGAATTTAACTTGGAATCAATCAGGTCTGGAACAAAAAAATCCCACAAATTTACAGTGGTTTGCACTTGTACACTGCAAAGTAAAGTGGCATTTTACTCCAGCAAGATTGGATTCCCATCATCTCCTTTGAAGTACATTACTCCAAAGCTTTACAGATGTTCCAGAATTGAAATGAAGTCCAGGCAAAGGCAATTAGTTCCTTCTGATGTCTGTTCAATCTGAGCCTATTGTCCAGTTGAACTCCACACCACTCATTGTCCACTTGTGTAAGAAATGGCCCAAGAAGTTCAGCTCCAGCTTTTCTGGAGAACAACCAATGCAACAGACAACACTACCACAACCCTGTATTCTTCCCAACCTGCAGACTAAAAAGAAACTGTAAAGCATTTACCACCCAAGGTAATTTTAGCATAAAGATTTCAGGTTATCAACTTCTTTGAGAGGACAGAAAGTGATAAATGAGGCAACGCTGAAGAACAATAAAGTGAAAGACAAATAGCGAGAGAGAAATCTGCAGAAATAAAAGAGCCGGCGCGAGATAAAATTAAAACTTTTTTGTTGTTGTTTAATAGTTCGAGTTTTGAATATGATTTAACTTCCCTGAACAGCCAGTAAAGATTCCCATGTTCTTGGCTCAATGCTTCACCCATTCCTTGGCTGGCCAGCCCTAGAGCTGCTTGCTCTCAGAGTCTGTGTGTGTCTGCTCCCCAGTCATGCCTCCACGAGGAATTAGCTGCCATAGGAATATCTACAGTCACAAGGCTGATGGAGACAAAAAATGACATTTTTGCAGTGTGTCCCAGAAGGCATGAAATGTCTCTGACAAATCCCAGAGGCCAGAAACTCCAAGAACATCACAGCAGCAGCAGAAGCTGGATTTGATGAGTAAAGGATCAGTGCTGGGATGCTGTTTGCACACAGCCCTTCTGCTTCTCTTCCTTGGAACGTCCTCATGCTCCAGTTCTCCCGAGAGAATCCTCCCAGGAGCTGTCTCCTGCTGACAGATGAAACACCAGGACTGGGCTGAAGTGAGGAGGAGCTGGGAGAAGCAGCCTCCCTGATTTTCTCAGCTGTTCTCTCACTTTGCTGGGTGCAATCCTTCAGTCTTCACAGGTGAAGCACTGAGCAACACTTTCAGGGGACCCTGAGAGGGATCCAAAGTAGTTATCAAATCAGTTGCACTGACACATTTCACTGTCAGCAGGAAATCCAGTCTAAACCCCATTTTTTTTAACATCTGCCCCACTACAGAACCCTGTTTCTAGATTTCTGAAGAACAAAACCCCAACATTTGATGCAGAGGCAACCAATACTGCCTTGAACCAATTAAAACTTGAAGAAGATATTCAGAACAAAGCAACAGCGGAGAACAAACCCAGTCCTGCTCATCTTCCATGTAAGAACATTTCTGATGAAGTCTCAGCATCTGGTCCAGCCTGCAGCAGTTGCACCAATCCTATTCCTCAGTGACAAATCAGGAAACCTGCTGAAAGGCAAGCCAGGAATTCCCAAGTGATGCATGGCAGAGGCAAAGCTTCTTGACTAAAACACCCTCTGGACAAGATCTGGATGTATTCCAGAGTATTTATATCTGAAGGTCCTCCCTCTTCTCCAAAGAATTTAAGAAGGAAACCAGTGAAGGGGAATGCAGCAGCTCCAGCCTGGTGTTGGTGAGTAGGATCTTCTGAGCACAGGGGTCAGCAGAGTCCCTGATCCCAGTCTGCTGTCACCTTATGGCTCCAAGACAGGTCTTTAAATTGACTTGGAGTTAAGATTTTGACTATGAAAGCCTTCATGTTCCTGTAAAAAATGGAGCATTGTACAGATCCCATCACAGAGATTTTCAGCTGATTGTGCAGAGCCAGCATGGCTCAGGGTGTGCTGCTGCCCCACCAGGTCTTGTGTCACCCCTGTCAGCCCACTGCAATTTTGTCTGGTATCACAAGAGACCATGGGTTGAGTCCCTTTCCAAAATTCAGTCAGGAATAACCATTATATGCCTGGTGTAACATTTCTTCCTTTTGTAAAACCAGAGAGGTGGAAGGAAAAAAAAAAGATCACTGCAAGATCACCAAGATCAAACTTGCAGTTAAACCCCAGGTAATGCTACAAATGATGACTTACATTTCAATATGAAAGAAGAGTGTCAGAGCTGTCAAAAAGAAATGTTCATGTCCAGAAATTGTCCTAGACAAACCATGACCACCTGGAAACCTCTGACCCTTCTCCTTGGGAATGTGTCTGCCACTGGTAGGCTTGGTTTGGTGACCAATCACCTGATCCATGCTGGCCTTGCACCACTGGGCAATGGGTTGGACGGGCTCATGAGGAGAGATGCCAGCAGTCTTTCCATGTGCTTTACAAGTACAGAAAAGTTAGTTCCATTTGTAGCTCGTTTCTTCTTGTGTTTGTTTTTTTTCCCCCTATGGATTGCTCCCAGTGCTTCCAATTCCACTTGTTCCCAGAAAAGAAAAAGGATATAGGGGAAGAAAACCCCTTGAACAAGCTGAAATGGTCAAAAAGACAGGGAACAAGGAGGAGAGAAAGAAATGCAGAAGTGCAGTCAGTTGGCATATTGTGCATAGAAAGCAACTTTCACTCTCTCGATCTGGTGGCACAGTTTGATGGCTGGGCCCAGCTTCAGCTCCATGCACTCCTGCACTGTGGGCAGAGTCAGCAACAGGAGGGCCTGGCCATCGATGTCCTGGAGAGAGAAACACAGGGAAAATGGGTTTGTTTGAGCACTCTGGAGGGCAGAATGCATAAGCAAGTTTGGAGTAATAAGAAGAACAGTTTGCCCTAAAAACTAAGTTCTTTTATCCTCTGCTTTTTTCTCCCACTTTGACACTGCCCATCTCCCTTCCCTGAGACACAACATGATTTTTCAGAAGTTGTCTAGTGTCTCTTCATAGGTTTAACCCCCAGCTTGGGAAAAAGCCTCCCAGCTGCTGAAATGAGGGATCACCTGCTGAACCTCTGCAGAGCCAACAGAGATCTGATCAGTCCATTTTATGCCTGAGGAGCTGAAACAAGGGGCAGGCTACAGACAGACACCAGGAGGGAACTGAATGGAGAAACTGATGCTGTCCCACTGCCAAGTCAGACCCTTTCCCCATCTCCTCTGGCCAGGATTTGCTCAGCACAGGTTTATGTCTGCCTCACTCCACGCCCTGTATCCAGGTACACCCAGGACCTGCCTTGTTCCACTGCTGCACAACCAAGAGAGGGGCGTGGACTACCCAAAGCCCTTGCAATCTCTAATGTCCCACAATCCCAGAATGGTGTAGGCTGCAAAGGACCTCTGCAGGTCGTCTTTCCCTCAAGCATAACTATGCACCAAACTCCATGAAGCAGTACCCTGGATGAGCACTTTTACTGGGAACCTCTGCTGGCTTTATGATCCTCTTCTTAATAAAGAGCTCAAGCTCTCTTTATTCTTTAATAGACTGAGATATCGGGCCACAAAACTGCTTTTAACCCTTTAAAAGCATCAGAGTCTATGCACAGCAACTCACAGCCAACAAAAACTCCCCACGACAGCCCTGATTAGGCAGCACTTTAAACTGACTTGGAGTTAAGATTTTGACTTAGGATTTAGACAAGGAGGATTTAGACACCTGAAGTGCTGCTTTGATCAGACTGTCCACAGCTCTGGTCCATCCCCCACTGAAGGTTCATGGCACAGACCACTGCACCAGGGCTTCACAAGGAAAAGCTCCAGTCATCTGTGTTTGATTCAAGCCACTATAAAACCCTCTGGCAAGGGAGAGACAGGGTTGGCTTCCAAGCCCTGGCACTGCTCCAGGCTGGTTAACAAATGGCTGGAGCTTGCTGTGACACAGCAACTGCAGCACCCTGCTCTGGGGAGCTTCACTTGCTCCAGACTCACCCTCCACCTTCTCCCAGCCACAGCAGCTGGAGTCATCCATGGTGAAGAATCAGAGACAGCTCAATGAGCAGCTGGCCACACCACTGACTAATTAACTACACTTGTTTTTCCCTAACTACGGCTCGTTAGTGCTGCCCTTTACCCTCGGCAGTGGCTGCGACTCATTTGCCAAGGAATGGCTCTTTCCACATAAACTGTACACACTCACACTGGCTTGAGATGAAGAGCACTGGCTTTGCTCCTGCAAACCTATCTGCTTAATGGGGAGAAGGCTGGCATCTCCTAAATTTAGGTCATCCAAGGCCTGGTGGGCAGATCCTCAGAGGAAGATAGTCAGGAATTAGGTGTCTACACACTTTGAACATCTAGGTGTTGATAGCAAAATTTAGACAGCCAGTTTGGGCTTCAAGCAGCATTTTTCTGCTTCCCAGGTCAGTATTTTGGAACAGGATGGAACCCATGTGGCCTGGAGAAAGCCTGGTGTGTACTAGGTAACCATTATCTGTTTTTACACTGAGGTTCCTACCTATGGGACATCAGTATGGCACCGTGGACCTTGGCATGAAAGGACAGAACCTCCTGCTTTCCACAAGGGTCTTTCACAAGGCTGTTGAGTTTCTGGACTCTCTGAGGATCTGGCAAGGTTCTGACTCAAGTTTCTAAGGGTTTTCATGCCTTGCCAAAATTGGTGTTAAAACCTGGCCTGATGGACCTGAAGTCTGGTCACAGTCCCTGAACCAAAGCCCCAGGCCCAGCCAGCAAGGTGGGATGTCCTGTAACGTGAACAGGCACCACAGACACGAAGGGACAAGTGACAAAAGGACTTCTACCTGCTCCTGAAATATTTTGGCAAGGGGTGCACAGTCGGTGAGTTTAATAAACCTCACGACATCAGTCACAGTCCACTCGAGTGGGTTACTGTCCAGGACGAGCTTCTCTTCCTCTTCTGGCTTAATTTCCTGTGAGGAAAAAAATAACAAAGAAAGGTTTTCATCATGTGGATGCCAGCCAGTCAGGGAGAGAGAAATGGCAATTGTTTATCCCAGTGGCTTGTGAGAATTTTTACGGAGTTGTAAGAATGTGATAACTTGCTAGTACAAACAATCTGCAGGTGGTGTTTTTTCACTTTGTTTTCCTGTTCTTCTCCAGGATGGTGTGTGAGAAAGGTGTTTTTTTATTAACTAGCCAATCAAGTGGAATGTATCTTATCGGGCTATAAAAACTGAAGAATCCTTTGTAATAAGGCCTCCTTTTCTCCTCTTGCAATTGGGTCTTTCACTTGTTCTTGTGTCATTCTTGGCTCAAGGGTGACATCATAAAGCAAACTATCTCCTGTGGAGTCTCGGGGTCTCTGTGGTCAGGATGACCCCAAGATTTGTTGGAGAGTCTCTTTTCCCAGCCCAGCAACCGAAGAAGGAGTCAGGATTCTTCTGTTCTGGTTTTCAAGGTTGTTTATTCTCTGTTATCTCTAACATTCTTTTCCTGACCTGCTGAGGTTCATTCAGCAGGTCAGACAGAGGCACAGTCCCCACCTTCAGGGTGGTGTTGTCTTTTTATACTAAGAATTATGTGTACTTTATTTACAATAACTTTCCAGTACCTATCACCTATGTTAGACAGTCTGTCTCTACCCTAAACCAATCCATAAGTGCCAACAACACCTAGAAGATGGCGGCTAGGAAGAAGGAGAAAGAAGGACAATTCCTCCATCTTGAGACCCCGAGCCCCCATTCTAAAAACCCCAAAATTCTACTTTTCACCCCGTGACTAACTAACTATCATTCTACTTAAACTCTTGTGGCTTGCAGATCCTCATATAAGGTTGGTAATTTTTTCCATGGGTCAAAATCAAAGTCACAGGGGGGTCTTGGGCTCTGTGCCAAGGTCTCTGAGCCCCCTGGCAGGTGCTTGTGCCATCCAGGACAGCCAGAGAGAAGTCCAACAGTGGAGAACCAGGGCAGGGCTGCCCTCCTCAGAGCAGCAAAGTTTGGCACTTGTTATGAGTAGAAAAAGCTGCCCATTTTTTAGAAGGTTGCAGAGTTCACAGGTTGTGCCAACTGCTGCCAGGATGGAGTTCTAACTGTTTGTTACTGTAATCACCTGTCATTTTTCTTAACTCCCTGTCACTGATGGTTAAGAATTCTCCCTTTTGTCCAGTGACATCCTGCTGCTTCCTGGAGGATGACACCAGACGGTGAAGAGGAAGGGACATTGGAGTTAGCATGCAAATGTCATCGGATCCAGCATGCAACAGGAGGGACCCCTCACCAAACCTAGCCAAAAACCTCTAAAACAACAAGCCAACACAAAATTCACAAATCAAAGTGATGACTAGATGTGAGGAACAGAATCTAGTATCCGCCAAGGCCTTTTTACACCTCACCCTAACCTAAAAGGATGTCGCTAGACAGAGGAGCTCGAATGCTGAACCAAAAAGGAACGGAATTTCCTGATACTATTGTGAGGACAGAACCCCCAGCTCTGCCCACAGACCAGTGGACAAAGCTGCACTGTTCCTCCTCCTCCTCGTCACCCTGGGAGCAGCAGTGGTGTGAGCGTGGACCCATCAGTTCTCCCCAGCCAAGCTGATCACTTTTAATAAATGCATTAAAAAGGAGAAAGATTTCCTGCCCTGTTTATTTCAGCACTGAAGGTCAATTTAGGATGAACTGTGCTATGAAACACACGCTCACCTCCTTGGCTGGCGTGCCCTTGTCAGCCTCGCTGCCGGAGTGGGGCTGGGCCCTGCGGCTGCGGCGGGCTCTCTCGGGGACGGGGGGCCTGTCCAGCTCGGCGCTGGCGCGCAGGGTGACGGCTCTGCGGGGCCGGGCAGAGGGCACCTCGGCCGAGGACGTGTCCGTCTGGTCGTCGCGCAGCTCCGAGCTCGTCTCCTCGCTGCCCGTCTCGTCCTCCATCGCGTCCGCCTCGTCCTCCTCACTCTCCTGCAAGCACAGTATTATGAGTAAAAAAAAGGCTCTTTTAGAAGGTTGCTGGCAGAGGAGAATTCTTTGATAACTTCTTGTTGTAATCACCTGTTAAGAGTCAGTCGTTAAGTCCTGTCGCAGACAACTTTTATAAAAAATCCTTTCCTTAAGATTTTTTCCTTCTGAGAAGCTGAGAGGCCTCAGGAACAAAATGTAAACAATGATTATCTGCTGCTGTGGAATGCAACAGGTGGATGGATCTTTGATTGCCCCATCTTGGATGTTTATAATTAATGGCCAATCATAGCCCAGCTAGCTCGGCTCTCTGTCGGAGCCACAAACCTTTGTTATTCTTTCTTTTCCATTCTTAGCTTAGCTAGCCTTCTTCCATTCTTCTATTACCTTTTCTTCTATTCTTTTAGCATAGCTTTAATGTAATATATATCATAAAGCTTGCTAAGGTTGCCTGTGGTTGAGCACTGCTTGGGAACTGGGACAGTCTGTCCCAAACAGGACTGAGCTATCCGGACCCTGCAGCCTGCTGGGGACACCCTGAATCCAGCAAAGGTGGTTTACTATGGAACAACACCGATGACTCATCTGGCATGAAATGTTCCTATCCTGGTCTGGTATCTCAAAACTTGTGGCACTGTTGATGTGCAAGAGGAGAAAAGGAAAATACTATGAGCATGCAATTAAATTCAGGCTGACTGAGAGGAAGTAAAATCAGAAATTTGACTTTAAACTTTCACATTGATTCAAATTGGTTTGGGTGTTACTGCTCCTGAAAAAAGGGAAATTTTGGTGCCTTTTGAAAATGGCTAGATGTTCAAGATAGCAATTTTTAGTGACATTTCTGCAAAACTCAGGACAGAGGATTTCACCCATATTTCCCTGCTTTCAGCCCAACACTGAACTGCTGGAGGTGAAGCCCTAAGTTCCATTTGAAGTATTATACCAGATTCTTGTTATTTTTGTCACACAGGGCTTTACAAGCACTCACCAACTGATGGAAACTGTGCAGTTTGGACTTTATATATATATAACCTGCCCAAATGGCTTTGACAGCTTATCTCTGATCCAAGTGTGAGCAGGCAGCCAAAGCCATGTGCTCAGGTCTTGAGTGAAAGAGCAATTTAGACAAAGATAGTTGTATTGGCTGAAAGGTTGAAAAACTTGGCTAATGGCTGATTTAGGCTTAACACAGGTTTAAGTTCCTTTGAAGCAGGTATAATCTAAGGAAATGAAGCAGAACTACACCTAAATGAGGACCAAGCCATGAAGATGCAGGCAATCAACTGAAAGCTGAATAAAATAACTTACTCTAGCTGAAGTGCAGGGAATTTAAGTAAACCAATTTTATTTCACATTGCACAAAGCAGCAATCACTGGCACTCAGCTGAGGAAGTGAAACCACACATGAGCTCTGTTATTGTCACCATGGGAAAAGCCCCCAGAAAACAGCCCACACAGAGCTAAGTCTATTCCAGGTTTAATTTGGACATGAATCTTTGCTGAGGCTCAGAACCTGTTGTATCACACAGCAGACTGGAAAGACTGAGCCCTAAAATTCCATGTATTTGGGACACAAACCATTTGCTTGCATGCTAAGCCTTGATGTTGTGAGCCAAAATATATTAGGAATAGTTAAAAAAATATGTAAAATTCCTTGAAACAACAATGTCTATGAGCTGTTATTATTGATTACAATACTTGGAGACCTTAGACATGGATCACAGAGCTCCTTCACTATGCTAAATGCTGTGCAAAGTATCCAACAGGCTCATCTGCCTGCTTTTAAGGAAGGAAATGAAATAAAGAGATTAGTGAGCATTGGAAAGGTGGGAGCAAAAAATCTGCTTGCTACTTCTGAAATGGCCAAGGTAAAAATCCCCGAAGTGCCCCAAGAAACCAGACTGATCTTAGAAGAACAGAGCAGAAAGCAAGGATCCAAAATAGAAACTGGAAGTGCTCAGGTGTGCTGAGAAGCCCCACAAAAGGAAAATGCAGAAGGCACCAAGGGGTTTTTGCTGATTTATCCAAAGTGACACAAACCTCTGCAGAGCCTGCAGCATTGGAATCCACAGCTGATGATCTCCTTTTCTTCTGCACAAAGATGGATTTCCGCCTCTTTCTGCGTCTGGCTGGCTTGACATGGCCACTTTTCATGTTGTTATTTTCCCCAATTGGTGGCTTAATGATTTTTTTCCTCTTCCCATAATAATAAGCTGGAGAAAAGAAGCACAATGCCCATTAAAAACTTTAACCACCCAAAGAAGGGAACCTTGGCTTGCTCCTTGCTACAGTTTCAGGAATGTACTCTAAGTGCAATTTAAACTTTAAAATACATTGATTTGGAAAAAAAAAAAAGTACAGCATAAATAGGTCATGTTGGACTAGCACAGCGTGTTACAGCTCTTATGTACCCAGATTTATTGATGATGAATGAAGACTTCAGAATTTAACAATGTGTTCAGGCAGAGCTGAGCAGTGATTTGGAGGGAAAGAGGCCAACAAGTTCCAGATTTGATCCAACACAGTTCTGTGTGAGGTAAAGTTGCTGAAGTTTTCAGCAGAGACGGGAGAGGGCCAGCTAGCCTCAGTCATGTACAAAGGAATGGGTTTTTATTAATTTAACTATTTTGTGGTCCAGGTTCAAATTAAGGATGTGAGAATCCTCTGACCTTACATTAAATATTTGTATTGAATCCTTTTGACACACTCGGGGGACGAAAGACACTGATGAAAGACAGCAAGGGTATCCCAGGACAATTAAAATGGCCCTTGGCACCCATGGCAAAGTTCATAACTGAACTGAGCTTTTCAGCAAATCAATGGATTTCTGAGGAAAAATTCATCCAGTCACAGAAACCATCAACTTTGAGGTGGGACAACCTCAGCTGGAGCTCCTCCAGCTCTCCATTTGCTACCAGGTGTAGATTTCTACAGAAACCCATCCCCAGGGATCTCAGTATCCCCCTGAGTGTGTTCCTCCTTCTACTGGCACCACACTCAAGAGAATTGCTTTAGATCAATTACACTGCTTTTTGCAATCTTTGTGGAAGAAGGACAATACTCACTTCCACTTTCCTGACCTGTTTGAGAGTCAATAATACTAATATTATTGACAACAAAAAGCACTGAACTCTAACAACAACCTTCCTGAACAGGCAGGATCATGTTTAAATATCAAAAACACTGAGTAGAGAGTCAGTGTTCAAACCTTCCAGCACCTCAGCACTGTGGTTCTGTGCTGGTGTGTATGCCAGAAACTCTTTACAAGGAGGATTCATCTCACCTAACAAAGCTGTCTCAGATGTAGCAAGTTAAAATCTCAGCTTGCCACTGCAGGTTCCTTTTATGTACTCCTTGTGTTAACTTTGGATATGAAGAAAATTCAAGACTTCCAGAAAGTGATGATGCTCAAACAGATGCATTAGGATGGAGTGAGAGGGACAGCTCCCTGGTACATGATTCTAAGGGAACTTGTGGTGGCCTCAGGATTAAATAATTGCCCTTAGGTGAGATGAATCCTCATCAGTATTAACATATCACACAACTCCTGCTCTTCATCACACACCACCAAACAGATGTATTGGGATGGAGTAAGAGGGACAGTTTTCTGGTACTGGATTCTAAGGAAATCTGTGGTGGCCTCAGGATTAAATAACAGCTCTTAGATGAGATGAATCCTCATCAGTATTAACATCATATCACACAACTCCTGCTCTTCACCACACACCACCTCCCACTTCTCTGGTTCGCAGCCAGCACCAAGAGGCATTTCCCCAATACTCACTGTACTTGGTTTTGGTGTGGATGGAGCAGTTCTCAGGGCAGACTTCAGCCACCAGCACAGGGCTGAAGAGGTTGGGGCAGCACTCAAGCTTGGCACAGACCCTCCTGCAGAAATCTGCTACCTGGTCCGACGTGCGCACAATCTTCACCGTCGCCCTGTACGTCTTGCCCCTGTACCTGGGGAGCAGCACAGGACCCCATGTCACCCATCCAGCAAAATCCTGTGGTGCTGCAGACCAGACCCTCCTCTGCCAGGGAGAGATCCTCCCCAGGGACCTTTGGGAGAGTGTCTCTCTTGAGAATGCAGGCAGAACAGGTCTAGTTTTTTTAGTGGCTCCATTTCAGATGGACTCGAGGAAGGAAAGGGTGAAATAAATTGAAGGTGTGGACATGAATCTCAGTAGGCTTGGTGAGGATACTGCACAGGACAGCAAGCCCTTATTGTGAACTGATGCAAAGGTTTTGGGAGAGGGATGCAGTGTCTCTGCATATACTGACCCATGATCAGATGCTTATACACCTGGTCACCACCCTGTGTTTGGACTGAACTCTCTAAGCCCTCAGTGCACTTTGGTTTTCTCCATTGCTATCTTTCCTGTTCCCATATCATGTTCCAGCTCCCAGCAATCCCCAAGACTCATGGTGCCAGCTGTGGCTATCAGGACACACTCATTGTGAAGAAGTATCTGTGTGAAACAACAATCTCTGCCACCCCAGGACCAGATGACTTCACCACTCTGAGATGTGGGCACTACAAAACCTGAGGAACTCATCAGAAGTCTCTGAAGTTATTTAACAGGGCTGCAGCAACAGGTCCTAAAAACTGATTCCTGCAGGGAATGCTTGGAGCAGAAACCTGCAATGAAAGGTTTGTCTTAAATTTGCTACACCACTAAAACATTTATTTCGGTGTTTCATATGAAGTGTTTCTGAGTGATAAATGGCTGAGAAAGATACAGTTACATCCCTGCTGTACTACATTGTAGATGTGAACCCTGGAAAACCAATTATCCCCGTAATTTATTAAACAGCAGCAGCAAGCTGTTGTAAACAGTGAGATAAGGTTTTCAAAACATCTCTTATGTATCCTGAGGAATGCAACACGAGAAACAACTGTGCCAGAGCCCGGCACTGGCATTACAAATGTGCTCAGAGAAGGGAAAAGCAACACATAACCAAGAAAAAGAGGGAATAACAGTGGAAGAAAGATTACTGGATGGCAGGCAAGGAAAGAGAAAGATACAGTCACCAGGAAAAATGAAACAAAGCATTTGTCAGTGTATTAAGATCTGCAGTTTCCTAGCAGCTGCTGATAGATATGGGAGAGGAAGAGGAGGAGGTGGTGGAATAAAGATGTGACCAGAGAGTTAAAACATTCAGACAGCTCTCTCTGAAACAAAGAGGTGTGGGAAAAGGGTTTGAAACTGTGGCACATGAAGTGTTATAAAGGGGAAACCCAAATGAAACTTGGGTCTGAGAACAGCCCAGTCCAACCATGCTCAGGTCGCAATGCAAATTATCACCTCAGCATAAAACCTGAAGCATTCCTGCAAGGTGCCAGGCTCTGATACCCATTTTGGTGCCAGGACAATCCTGGATTCATTAACCTGAATGCATGAATGATTTGATGAGCCACCTTTTCACACACCCTTGAAGACCTGGCCAGATGATGTAAACGGGAAAATGTTCCTTTCAGGTACAGAGCACTGTTATGATCCCAGCTTCCCCATGAAACAGCTGCAGAGGCAGGCTGGCTGAGCAGGGTTTGGCAATACCTGATATACCAAAACCACTAAATGCCACAGGCATTTAAATGCACCTACTTATAAAAGTTTTATATTTCTTTTCAATGTGTTTGAAAAGACTCCTGCACTTATTACTTCTCCAGGAGCCATGAAGTTTAATGACAGCCTGGATTGTTTGGTCAGTGAGTGTGCTCTCAGAGACTTCATTGAGCTGCTTTCACCTGGACCCAAATAACTCTGCTTGGACTAAACCAGTACTTCCAGACAAGCACCAGCCTCGAGGGTCTCCCCACTGGAAGAATCATGGCACAGGGAGCACCTGTACCTACACCTCATTTTATGTCTGGATGCATCTGAATTTAACTCACATTTATTTGTCCTTGTTCTGACTTTCAGCACTAGGATGAAAAGACTGCATCTGGTTTTGTTTCCCTGCAAAAGCACTCTAATCAAATTGCTTCTTGATCTTCTTTCTTATAAGCTAAGAAAGCTGCCTGATGGGTATTATTCAAGGATGGCTGACTTTTTCTAACTGTGTGCTTCCTATTGTGTTTGGCTGCCCAGGAAGGACCCATTGTACTGCAGTGGCTGCTGAAAGGAAAAGATGAAACTAGGAAAATGAACAACTGACTGATTTCATCGTCTGCTTTGAATGCAACACACATTTTAATTAACAGAGAGGATGGCAAAATGGAGATCTCCATGACTGCAGCAATCAGCCTCAATAACCCAAGGTGTTAGCACTGGCCACAGCAATATTTTTTACATCATTTTGGTCTTGGCAGCACCTCTTTCAACTATAAACCAGGTTCTCCTAATATTTTCCATATTCCACACACACACTAAAGATTTTTAACACAGGCACCACCAAATGTAATCTGAGCTGTTTCTAGGACAGCCATGTAGGAGCTCCTTTGTCAGAAAACATTTTTCATTAGCATCTCTCAAAAAGTTACCAACTACTGATGCTCCTATTTATGTTTTTACACCAGGGCTCCTATCTTCTCAATCACTTGCAAGCAGCAAATATCTACATGCATAGCATAGCAGCACTGGAGACTTGGAAAATTGCTATGTCAAGGATAATATTTTTGGTTTTCTTAGAAATCACTGTTCTTTTTTAAAAAAATTATTTTCCAGCTAAAACCAAAGGAATCTTTCTTTCCTCTTCCCCCTTCTCTGCCCTCAGATGCCAAACTCAGAGAAAACCTTAAGGCTGGAACTATTTCCATGAAAAATACACTTGCTGATCCATGAGCAAAAATATTAAATGAACAGCACTTTGCAATAGAATTCTTCTGTTGAAGCTCCCTAAAATAGATTAGAGGCTCAGGAGAACATAGGGACTTCTAGAAGCCCCAGTTATGGACTGCTGTGTGATGACACAGAAAGTATTTTGCTGAAAAACTTCAAAAAGCAAGAACATTGAGAACCTCATTTTCAAAAGTCCCATTCTAAGGAGTTCTGACAATTCTTGTGACTAATTTGAGCAACTAAAAAGTCTCAATTTCCTTTTGGGGGACTTAAAACTCCTTTCTATTCTTTGCAAGAAATTTCTATTTTGTCTGTCTACCCTGAAGTTAACGTAAGTAGTTAACTTCCTTCAAAGCTATTTTATCATCCAGTGGCATTTTGTACTCTTGAACACTGGATTCAGAAAGGGCACTGGAATGCTCTGGTTGTAAGGCCTTGTCTCATTAAGTCTCCTGATTAGAGAAATAAAAGGTGTGAATCATTCCACTGATCCTGGCTTGTAAAGCCTTGCTCAAAATGAACACAAATTTCCGCTGTTTCTTCCTCAACCCCAAACCAGTTACCTCATCACATCAGGCACAACTCCCCCTTTGCTTCTTGCCTGTCCCCTACTGGTCCTGCATGTTCTCAGAAATGGCTTCCAAGAGGACCTGGCTAATAACCTTTCCAGGAAAATAAATCTGAGAGCTTTGTTACTTGGATCCTCCTTCTTGTCCTTCCTAAGGAGGGGTGTGATAATCGTCTTTTCCAAAAATCAGGATTCTTCCCTCATCCTCATCAGCTTCCAAACACGCCAGCAAGCGGCCTTGCAATGACATTGGCCAGTTCTCCCAGGCAGAGCTGGCTGCATCCCAACTGCTTCCATGCACTTGTGCACATCCAGCTTGCTTCCTGGGTTTTTAGATTCTTTTCCACCTACTGCGGGTAACACTTCACTTCCTCAAACAGGATCAGGGCTCTGGGAAGCCTGCGAGCAAACCCTCACTAGCAAAGGCTGAGGCAAAGAAGATTTCAAACACCTCACCTATCACAAGTTGAAGGCAGTCTTCTAAAGCAGCTGCAGTGAAAAGGCTTTCTTTGAAATGCTGCCTCATAAATAAGCAATGATGTCTGGCATAGGGGTAAATATTCCTGGAGTTCAGCTACTGGATTTGAGCAGCTCTCAGGATTTCATTTAATGAAAGAGTCAAGGAATACTCATCTTTATTATTTTGATCAACTGGTCTTCATACAAGACCCAGGAGACAACTCTGTGCACACACTACTTTTGTTTGTGTCCAAAGCCTTGCAAAAATGGGTAAATCCAAACAGCCCCATTATCAGCCCTTAGAAATGAAACCCCTTGAAAAGCATGAAGTCCCTTAAGCATTTTATGTAAAATTAGGAAGGCAAACCAAGATGTAGGCACTGCACTTAAGAGCATCAAAACTATAAGGGTTGAATGCCAAGAGCTTCAACCAGCCCTTATGGGAACCCAGGAGGATCAAGGCTGACATTTCTAACTCATCATCACCAATAAATCAGGTTTGACTCTTCTCACACAGAGCCAGCAGTGCTGATGGGAAGCAGCTGCCATCACACCCTGCAAACACATCTCTCTGGACAATCTAAATTGTTTTATCTTCTTTGCAAGGTGAACGTAATTGATTCCACAGTGGTCACTCATGGCAGCAGAGAGAACTAAACACGGGCTGCCCCAGGACTGAGATAATGCATTCCTGGCAGTGCAAAACCTGGCTTTTGGAACAGTGGGAAAAGCAGCTTTCTCTTCACCTCTCCCTTTGCTCCACCCTGCTGCAGGCACTGCAGACAAACAGCACTGCCAAGATCCAAGGAGGTGCCAGCCCACATCAGAAAGAAGGTGACACCATGTGTCCCCATCACAGCTGGCTCTGGAGCTGCCACCCTTAGCAACAGGCACCATCCAGAGCCCATGGAGCTGGAAGTTGCTCATTGAAGGCCTCTGTTGCTCATTAGAGGTCTGTGTTTAAGATTCTGGAGCACCGTCACAGCTGGTGGAAGGTGTCATGGGCTGTTTGAATGTTCCACAGTATCTGGTTTCCTAACTGTATTTTCTTTCTTGCTCCTGAACAACCTAATGCAATTAAAACTTCAGAATGGAGCAACTCAAGCAAACTAAAAAGGAAAATAAGAAGGAAGTCCTAGGGTAGCCAAACAGTCTTGGGGCATGTCAATACTCTGCTATCCACTCTTAGAAGCACTCAAACTACCCACAGAGTGGTGCAAGCTGGCACCAGCACCAAGCACTGCTCTGTGAAGAGATCAGCCACAGAAGCCAGAGAGCTGCAGGAACCAGGCACTGTCCAGCCCCACGAGCTTTGTCTCCTCAGGAGCCAGAGGGCAATGCCACACTGGAGGAGAATCCTCAGAAAGCACTTCAAAACTTGCTGTCCTGGCTCTGAGCCTGTAATGGTCCCTTCTGTGGCTTAATAAAGTTGAAAGACGCTGCCTGACTCCCTGGAGAGTGAGGTGGATGCCTGCTGGGGCAGCCAGCACACCGGAACACAAATACGGACTGTGACTAAAATACTACCATGGATGGTCAGTTAAACATTTCCCAGGCTGTCTCCCATTAGAAATATGGATTGCAGAAGCCTTAAGAAATAGGTATTTCTGCTTTTGCACCAGGCAGACCCCCACACTCAAATGGGAAACTCCAACAAAATCCTACTCAAAATACTGCTAATAGGAAAAGTGCCTGTAAGCTCAGTTCTTTGTAGAAGAGGATATTAAGTAATAAAGGGCATTACAACTTGATTTCACAACTGCTAAGTAACTGCAGGAGTGAATTACCTGGTATTTGTAGCACAAGATGTGAGATCCTGGAATCAATGAAAACCAGGTCATGGACAAAGACCTGTTTTAAATGAAAATCTGCATGCACAAAGTTGTTGACTTTTAGATTTGCATCCACAACAAACACAAAAGCCTGATACTCCACATGGGTGAAAGCAGCAAAATAAAAATAGGATGTTTTTAGTAGATTTTCATTTCAGTTTGCAATCCTCCTTATAGGAATGCAGTTTAAGTGTACAGAGTAAAAGTTTCTCAACTCCCTCCCTCAACCAGAGAACACATGAACTCTCTGTAATATCTGCATGGGCAAAGAGCAAATACAGTAGCCATCAATAGTGCTGTGTTTGGCAGCTATTCATATCAAATAACCAAGAGAAAATTGCTTTTCTTTGAAAAGGAGTCACAGAGTTCAGTACAAAGGGTGAGATTCACTGCATTTAACTACAGTACTTAAAAAGTCAAGGTGACCATTAGTCAACAAAGAAAGCTTTCTTCAAAGAAATATTTATTGAGATCCATCTTCAAGTGGGAAGAATTATTCTTCAGAAGGACTCTGGAGAGAGCTTAGGTAAGACTCCCTTCTTTCAGAGAGACAACAATTGCTCGAACACATCCAAAGTATAGTGCCCATTACATAAAGAAGACATAAACAGGTAGATTTTAATGCTGGAAGGAGGAATTCAGTATTCTTTTGTGCTGTTTAGAAGAGAATTGAAGAATATATTCTAGAAAGGCATCAAATCTTGACCTGAATCTCTGATCTGTTACTACTTTGCCCTAATCACACTCCTGTTAAAAAAATGTGTCCCTGCTAATCTGTTTGAACTTTTTTTGGTGCCACTCATTCTCACCAGTTTTTCCCGCATTACCCTGACAGGCTCTAATTTAAAAGCAGCTATAGTCCTCCATCTAGGAAGCCAGGAATTTAGTTCATTCAGTAATAGCCAAGCTTATAAGAACAGCTTATCATAAAACTCAGGACTTGACTTCATCAAAAACTGGATGGCTGCTTGGAGAAAGACAACAGAAATGAACTGTTCAGGTGAATATTTCATTTCTGAAGTTGCTACGAATGAGTCAAATAATTCAGTGGAGCAAAACGATAATTAGAAAAGTAAAACTCTCACAATAGAAAAAAACCCTTTTCTTACAATTTTTTTTCCCAAGTCAGTTTCCTTTCTGAAACCTCCCAAATAAAAGAACACAGGTTGAAGACTTACTTTGCTTTAAGTGTTTCCTCCTGGAAATTCCACTGAGGGTCTTCCACAAGCTGCAGTTCTCGTAAAACACTCCCTGGCTTGTAAGCTGCATTGATCACCATGCTGAGAACCTATGGGGAGATAAAACCAACAACAATGATGCCTTTAAAAGCAGTCCTTGACTACACAGGTGCTGCACAGGCAGGAGCAGCTTGTTTCTGTCCTGGTTGCACAGGTTAAGTGCTGGATGCAAGCAGGAGGGGTCCCAGAATGGATCATTATACATGTACTATACATATTTTGCCATCATTGTTGCCATATTATAGATAACACCTGAGTTTGAAAAGGTAACTGCATTAAATGCTGCTGTTTAACCCTAATAATCTGCTAAGCAGTGATTTTGTCTTTGTGGAAAAACACTCTCACCTAAACCAGATTCCACAGACTGCACCCATCATGGACCAGTTTAATAAAAAAATGAAAGCAGAAATAGTTCTGAAGGCACAACCAGATACAGGTCATGTGCACCACCACAAAGTGAACACTGAAGGGGAAATTCACACATTTGAGGTCAGCAATGTGCTTAAGAGGCTGAGAGTTGTGTGCCTTGACTGTATTAACAGAATAGCAATGAAGTCTCCATAAAAAGAGTTTGCAGGAGGTGTGCCTGGAGCCCAGTGTGTGTCCACTCTGTACAAGAGAGCACATGTGCCAATCCTTTTAATCCAAAGTCACTGAGAAAAAAATTATTCTTGCTATTGGCTCAGGAAATGCAAGCTTTAATAGCCTGCACTTGGCATATGGAGATAAACACAAGGAAAACAAATCTCTTAACAGCACCAGACTGTGTGTTTGAACACTCTGCATTGTATGCACATGAGTGATCCCACAGTGAATCTGGATTGGTTTTCATCTAATTTAGCTCGTTACCTAACGCCTGTTCTTAATTCCTTGGGGGCCTGCAAATGATTTCAGTATGATGAAGTTTATCCAACAACCATGAACAGAGTTCATCAGAAATGAAAAAATAACTAGGTCATACTGCAGTGACCAACGTGTTTATGTTTGTTTGGTTGGTTTTTTCTGGGTTGGGTTTTTTCCCCCTCTAAATCCAGCAACCTGAGGATTTGCTAGCATTTTGAAAACCCTACAGGATTAATCATTTTCAGGCAAGGGCTTCACTTAATGCTGCAGAGCACTCTGTAAAATGGCACTGGCTGGAGTTGCTTGGATAGGTTATTTACTAGAAGCAAAATTTAATTTATCATTGGGCCCTTGGAAACATAACTCAAACCAGTCTTCAAAAAAGTCCAATTAGAGACACCAAACACTGACAGAAGGTAGATTTAGACTGGAAATGAGGAAAAGATTCTTTCCTGAAGGTGGGAGGCCCTGGCACAGGGTGCCCAGAGAAGCTGTGGCTGCCCCTGGATCCCTGGAAGTGCCCAAAGCCAGGCTGGATGGGGCTTGGACCCTGCCTATGACAGGGGGTGGCACTGGATGATTTTATGGTCCCATACAACCCAAACCATTTTAAAATGCTATGAAATGACGGTTTCTGAGTGAGCCCTTCCAGCTGCTCACCCACAACTTCTCTTGCTGGTCTCTCCCCACACAAACTGAGGGGCACTGGCCTGTGACACCTGGTATCAGGAAGCCAGACAGAAGTGGGTTTTCAAAACATCAAGTGTCTGGGGAGCTGCCACACTCCTTCACAGCTCATCAGGTGTCTTGATCAGCAAATGCAGGGAGTTTTAACCCCTGTGCAGGCGTTTGTTTGGAAGGCTCTCCTTGAGCACACCTCTACACCCACCCTGGGTGGTGCAGACATATGGGGCAGAAAGCATCTTGCTGACCAATTTCCACCCGTGAAATGGTGCTTGTATGAGTTGTCAGAATAGCTGGGAAATGAGCAAGAAAAGAAAAGAAAACCCAAGCCTGCAATACCAGTGTGGCCCTGTCTGGGCGTTCTCCCAGACACCTAATCAACTCCAGCCCTGCACAGGCACCCACAGTGCCAGGACTTTTCTCAAAGCTGGCTTGTCACCAGCAGGACTCTGTAAACTTCTACACTCAGTTCAAAAAAATGAGTGTTTTGTAAGAACAATTATTTCCTTTACAGGGAAGGGGGAAAAAAATTAAAACCTCTGGTTTTAAAATTTAAAACCTCTGGGTTTTACTCCTCTTGTATCTCAAGTGAGTCACTGGGTATGGCATCTTACTCTACAGCAAAGGTCCATCATCACAGTAACACTGGCACCTTCTAGCAACAGCATCACTACATATTGCACTCTATTAAATGCAAACAAACAGAATTTTGGCAAAAAAAAATTAACTGTGATTTAAACAAAACCAGTGAAGAAACCTAGACCAGTTTCCAACATTCTCTGGAGATGGAAAATTACATCAACCATCTCAGACAGGTCAAATTTCCTTTGGCTGGAGCGTGACCAGTCACAGATTTTGGTGGTTTAATTTCAGCCCTCTGCATCAGGATTGGTTTGGGTGCCTTGGAGCACAGGGGGGATTAGGCAAGCTTAGCCTTTGCTGTTATCCATCAGTGAGGTTTTATTTTGATGCTGCTGACCTTTGGATTTCCAGAGCTGAGTGAGTTGGAGTCACACCAGTGAACATGATCAGGCAGCACCATCACAAGCCTTTGCCCCACCTCACAAGCACCTGATGATGTTCATAAAGTTCTCCATGTCATGTATTTTCATGTGCACAGGGCTCTTTTTTGAGTATATCTGGTGTGCCTGATGCCACTGGGCAGTTCAGCACTTTTGTTCCCATCACAGTTCTTTGGTGTTCACACATTTCCCCATCTCCATCCCCCTCAAAACAGTCTCAAGTTTTGAGATGGATGAAGCTTTCTTAGGAAAACTCCTAACTTCCTTCCTAACTTTCACTGTCAAGGTACAGCTAAAATATGATCACAACTCTTTTCTCCTATTCAAGACCTCAATGATCAGCATTCTCATGACGAAAAACTCATTTTCCTTCCTCTATCTGAGATATAATCCCACACTCTCACCTAACAAGGGATACTAAATCCCAGGGTGGCCTCAAAGCAGGGCAGTAAACTTAGTTTTTTTAACTTGGAATACTGATGTGTCAGAGAGAGTAGAGCAGAAGAGTTATCTGGGATTCTTTCACTAGATGATCAAGGATCTAAAGGGCATCTTTTGTTATGGTCAATTTTTTTGTAAATAGAGAAAGAGCAAAGTGTCTTAAAAATAGCAAAAGCAGTAAGCAATGAAGCCAATTAATCTTTACAGCATATTTCTCTAAAATATGGGGGGTTATAGATCATCTGGAGTCTTAAGAAGACACCTTGTTTTATTTTACAATGTTGCTGAGGAGTTCTTGGCACATATGAAGAACTGTTTAGGCTTCTTAGATATTCTGACCCCAGTACTAAAACTAAAGCTGACAATGTATTTATTTTAATTTAGCTTCAAGTCAGCCTTTATTACATAGAACTACCTTACAGTCACCACTTTTCAGCCCAGGTGCAATGGCTGGATGGCAGTAACTGATGTCCCCATTGTATTTGGCTCCAGGTTTCAACTTGTTTTCCAAGAAAATACTTCAGGAATGAGACAAACTTTGCAGCTGATGTCAAACAACAGGCACTGCCACCTCACTTGCCTCTTCCAGTGAAAGAAACCACAATAAACCAGTGGTCCCAGTACAAAACTTGTGGTGGCACTGGAAATAATGAACAGCTAGGCTGTAAAAATAAGTTTGGTATAAACTACACAAGAGTTACTTGTAACTCACCTAAAACTTTGGGACTCAAGGGTACACAAATATAATGATGGTGGGGTGGAAATGGCTGAGGAGCATCAGGAACTTCAATTGTGCTGCAATTTTTCACCTCCATCCTGCCCAGGACTCTCTGTGCTGCTGGCACCTCCCTCATCTCAGCAACAGCTACCAGGAATCAGGTACAGCAACACCCTGAATATTTTCTTTTCACCCTCTCCAGAATTTGGAACTGGTTCCCACGGTCAGAATGAACTTGAGTTTATGGCCATAATAAGCTTGAACATTTTCTGCAAAGTAACCAATGCTGGGCCACTGCCATTGTCCTGCTCCTTGGGAAATTGTTTATATCTCCAAAACAAGATGCCCACATCTCCATGACACTGCTGTTTGCTCCTGTGTTGACGGCAACCCACAGCGAAGTTGCTTCCAACCAAAAGAACTCCCCATGCTTGAAAAATATCAGCTCTCCCATCAAAACCCACAATGCAAAACCTGCCCCTTCTTCCTGGCCTGCAGTTTTGCCTCATGGTAACCACTCCAGGACAATTTTAGGTGCACTGTTTGTTAATTCTGGGTCTGGCAAGCCATGACCCATAGTTTCCTTTGAAATCCCCCCAAAAGAGAGCAGGGCCATACCTCCTTGAGGACCAGCACACACTTGCCAGGCCCCACAGACTGAGGTAGCTCTGCAATCCTGCCTTTGTTTAAGTATGGACCTGAGAAGCAGCGGTGGTTGATGTAGAGCTGGGGGCAGCAGTACCTCCCATTGATGGTGCCTGCAAGGAGAAAGCAGCAGTGAGGTGCCTGCAGCACTCTTATACCAAAAATCAAGGGCATTTCTGTATTATTATCATTGCTTTAATTGAAGGGATGGGACTACAGTTGAGTTAAAAACAATTTATTGTTTAAATAAATATCAATCTTAGAGGCTGTGATATTTAAGAGAATAAGTAGTCAGCTCTAGCTCAAAATGGTCTCAAGTTTTTCATTACAAGATAATATATAACTTTCTAATCTAATGGATAGTTGCCACAAACTTTATTTTGTTTTTCTAACTTATCACCTTTACTTACTTCTACTGTAATGTGTATACATTTTCATCTAATGGGTTACAATCACATGTACACACACATGCTTTTATTATAACTTCTAAACTCTGAGCTTATTGTATACAATTACACCCTGACATTATAAACCCTTCATCAATACAGTTTCTCATTTAAGGCATATTCTTACTTATAACTACAGAACACAAGTTTATGATTTTTCTGTTTAATGTCTGTGTACTTTATTTTTACATCAATTCAAGCTTCTTCCAAGGCTGCAAATTAAACCATCCTGTGCCTGTGGATGTTTCTATTTTTCTATTTTCCACACTTCTTCCTCCTGGATGTGGGAAGAAGGGGAGGAGCAAAAAGGAGGAACAAAATTCTGCCCTGGGATACAGGGTTGGGAAGCCTTTGCTATTCAAATCCATCCAGCATGGGAAAATGAAGTGTTTTTGATAGTGACTGATTTGGCTGCTGAAAGGAGGACTGGGAAAGGAGTTAATCCACGACATGAGCCAGGGCTCTCCCAGAACTCACACTGCAGGGGGACACAAGCACCTCACTGCAATCTGCCAGGAGGGGATGCATGAGCTGAGCCTCACAGACAGGGGGTCAGCTCAGGGAGAACATTCTCTCAGTGAAGAAAGAGCTTTAGAAACCCCTCTTCAGCTCCTGTCCAACCCCACAAGTCCTGCAGTGCCATTCCCTGACCCAGCATGGGTCTACAGAGCAGTTTTCCTTGGCTGGGCTAATTAGTCTGGGCTCCTTTATAGACCATGGAGAGAAATGGGAATTTCTAGATGTGGTTCACAGGCCTTCCAAGTGGTTATCCACTTTTTTTGGTTGTCATACCCAAAAGGACCCTGACTCTCCCCATTTGACTGTAATGGGGTGTTGGCTGCAATGCCAACATGTGTCCACAGCCTGCTGAAATAAAGTGAGTTAAATCCTGTCCCTGCTGCTGGGTTCACACCATTAACTGGATGAATATTGCACTCAGAGCCTCCTGCCACTGCTAAAGGGGAGAGGAATTTCCCTTCAGCTGAAGCAGCAGCCACACCACACAGTCCTGACATAACAGAGGGGACCCATCAGGTCCTGCTGTACCCAATTTCATCAGTGTCAATTAACAACCTGCACCCATCTCCACGGCTGATGAGAGAGTCATCAGCCTTGTCTTGATATCAACATCTGAAATGGGCAAGCTCCAGGGGAAATCTGATAGCCCCAGCAGGACATGTGGAGAACCAGACCCTCACCTGATGTGCATCAGGAGGGTTCACTCCACCTTACACCCCCTGAGGATGTGGTTCCATCTCCCCACCCCTACTGGAACTCACTGCCTTTCTGGGGTCCTCCCCTTCCACACAGGACATGGGTCTTTGCAATAAGGATCCTTACCTGTTGTGTCTAGCTGAGGAACTGGGCAGAGGTCATGAGGTATTTTCTCAACAGGCACTGTGGATGGTAACCTGTTAAAAGAGGAATTGGATGTATTTAATTGAGTATTTGTATTTAATGTATTTAATAGCATCAGAAAGGTGTATTTAATAGCATCAGAAAGGGCCAGAAGCAGTCCCCAGGCTGAACCAAAAGCTACACCAGCAGCAGCCTGGGATGGGGAACAGAGACATCTCCAACACAATTCCACTTCCCCATGGCTGATCACAGACCAGGGCATTGCAGATGAAGGAGCCAGATCCACTCCTTCTCTGAAAATATACTCTGATGTGTCAGCTTTAGACCTCCAGGCTCCAAATATCTCCCTTGAACCCCTTAAATTCAAGTTTCTACAAACTGCAAGAGCTAGACAGGGAAATGCCCTCTTGGTATATGTCCATCTTCCCTAAGCATCCCTTGCTGGCCATCAGACAGGGGCTGTACAGCCCCAGCCAATAAAAAATTGCTGTTACAGAGACTTTCTAATATGCTAACAAATATTTCAGCCTTAAAAGAATCCTCTTGCTGGCTGTGCTGCAGTATCTGAGCAGTAGTTACTGAGCTACACAGCTGCTGTGTATTATCCCCCCTGGAAGACCTGATGCATTCCTGTGAAAACACCACCTTAAATAACAAAAAAACCCCAAAACAACTTACTGTTTTTCTGGCTGCACAACTGCAATTCTCCTCTTCCTTCGCACTGCAAAAATGAAGCAAGAAAGAAAAAAATAATTTTGTCCCCTTCTGTCCTGTAAAGTACACCCAGAATGCATAAAAAGCTGTGTAAATGCACTGACTATAAAATGACTTGAACACAATGAAATGGTACTTAATTACTATCACCATCTTTTCTTGGTATTTTTTAAGTAAGTCACTACATCATTAAAACCTACTTTAAGGATGTAATAATACATTTAATCTTTCCTCTGGAATGCTAATATTGTGTTTTATGGGATCAGCATAAAAGAAAAAAAATTAAAATAAAAACACAAATATTTTTCCATACAGAAACACATATGGATAAGATTACATTTTACAAGCATGATTACCTCCAGCATAATTTATCCCCAGCAATAACTTGTGATAAGGCTGCATAATGTTGCCATAGCAGTATTCTCCTAAATTAGGCTCTGGCTGCCTGATTTTTAACTTAAGCATATTTAACTCTTTGAAAGGGACAATACATTTTAAAATTTGCCTTTCAGATGTTAATTAATATAAACAATGAGGCCAATTTTCCACCTAGTGGCTTGAGATTGGATATGTTGGAACAGGAGAACAACACCAAGCCACTGAGTTCTCATGAACTGCCCTCAAATGCAAATAGAAAGGAAAGAAATTTGTCTTAATATGCACTAGAGGCAGGACAAAACACTGTGAGCTTAATTGTGCTGTGGGGGAATTTAAACTGCACAGGAAAATCTCTGAGCTGGCAAGGGCAGTGAAATAAGGGACAGATACCCTGGGAAAGGGCAGAAATTCCATCACAGAATGGCAGCAATTATTTCTCTATTTAAGTGAAGCAGATCCTGTTTTGGAAAGGGGCATCTGGATGGCCTCTGTATATCCATTCTACCTGACATTTTATGGTTTTGGTTTTTTTCAATTGGAGGTCTTTGTCCCCAGTGCACTCAGCTGCCTGAGTGAACCTGGCTCAGCACAACAAAACCTGGTTTCCCTCTGACAACCCCACTGACCAACAACCCCATTGTAAACCCACAACCCCCTCTGCAATCCCAAACCACGGAACAGCCTTCCCCAGCACAGACAACCCCATTTTTGGAGGGGCTGATCACAGAGAAAAATACAAACTGTATAATTCCAGTCTGGTCACTAATTAGATTTATTATGATTTATTGCAGTACACTTGATTGTGTACTGTAAATAGCCTGGTTATTGGTCTGCTGGGTAGGTTGATAGTGTCAAAAATGGGATTAGAGACCTTAGGAAAAATCTCTGATATCATCTGCACTGCTCAGGTCTCCATGTACTTACAAACAGCTTTGTGTGGTGGGGTGAGGTTATAAGCATTTGCTTCACACCAGCCAACAGGGAAAATGTCCATGGACTCCACATCAACAATGTACTCTGGAGAGGGCATCTGTGAACCTACAAACACAAATTTATAATGGGATTTAGGCACGGGAACACCAAGCTCAGAGCCATCCAAGCATCCATCACAAGCCTGGGGACGCAAATGATGGAACATGTAAAAATAAATCTGCTTCCTGCACCCAAATCAGGCATCATTTCATCTTCAGCTCTGCACAGACAGCAAGGATGGGGCTGCTGCTTTTACAGTGCAATGTGGTTCAGAGGAAAACCCCATTAAGAGCACTTTGAGGGTGTGCAGTGAAGCAGCCAAAAGTCAGGGAGGTTAAACACATGTAACTTCCCTCAACAAGACAGCCTGGCTGACCCCTGGATATTTTGTGATGTTGCATATCTGAGTTAGAAGGATGCGTTGAATGCTTGCTCTTAATGGCAGGAGAGTGCATCCAGGCTTTCCCAGGCTGGTAGCTAATGTGAGAGAAAGGCTTTGATGTTCAAGTGCTTCCCTGAAGCTTTTTTGTGCAGCTCTGCCCTTGAGTCCCATTTTCTAAGGGTGAGAGGTGGCCACTCCTCTGTCCAGAAGTGCCATGAATTCTCCTAGGGTTCCTCACATGAAACAAGAGCTGGTCACCCAACAGGAGAGAAGCAGTATGAAAATCCCAAGTGGGACAGATGCTCCAAGGTCTATGGCACGATGCTGACTCCAAAACTTCACCTGAAGTCTCTAGTTATAGCAATTATCTTCCAATTTGGTTTTTACACCTCCTTAAGAAGACAACCTCCTTTCTTCATTGAGGTGGGTCCCACTCACAGAACAAATGAATTATTTAGGTTGGAAAAGACCTCCAAGATCATCAAGCCCAACCATTAACCTGTCACTGCCAGGCCCACCACTAACCCAAGTAACTCAGCACCACGTCTCTGTGACTTTTGAACACTTCCAGAGACATTATTCCACCACTACCCTGGGAAACATGTTAAAATGCTTGACCACTCTGTCAATGAAGGAAATTTTTCCTACTTTTCTCCCTAATTTACCTGATTTTCACTCAAAATGCAATGAAGATACTCCTGCTGGCTTTGAGTTCTTTCTAAAACAATTCTTGTGTCCTGAGTCAAGGCACCCTTTAACCACTCCAATTCAAGTTCAAGTTGCTGGTACACCTGGGCCAGCAACTTCACCTCCTCCCTCTGCCAATTCCACCCCAGGAGAGACGCTCCAGCACCAGCATGGGGAGATCTCCTAATAAAAGGGACCAAAGGATCAGCAGTTTCCCCTGCATCACCCTTGCCTTGGCATCTGCTAAAACATCTTTGCCTCCTGCTAAAGGCAGCAAGTGCTTGACTGTGCACAGCCAGAGGACTACAGGGAGCTTCTCGCTAATGTGTGTTCATCAAGGGCTTGTGGTGTAATTGAAACAGTAATTGAACTTTGAGATGGGAACAGCACTGAGGCTGAGGTGCAGCATTTGGCTCAGTAATGAACCTGCTGCTCTGAGAGTGTGTGGCTGCAGAAAAAAGCCTCCTCCTCAAAGGAGGCAGGGAAATAGGTGCAGAGGAAATAATGAAAAAAATGCAATTAATGATGTCTGTGTAGATCCAAAGATGTCCTCATGGTGTTTCCTGAGCCCTGCATTGTGCTCATGCAGTATCCACTGAAAATACACACCAGAATAGGGGGAAGAGAATGGGATGAAGGTATAGGGCAAGGACACAACTTGCTGAATACAAGATTCCAGCAGCTGAAATTCCCTGAAAAACCATTTCCCTCCATGAGATAATACCACATGGTCACTGCTCAGTTTGAACCTGATGAAAGCTCCATTTCCACCTGACACAAATCCAGGCAAGGACCCCATGTGACAACAATGAGTCAGTGGCAAGACATGCAGACAGCGAGTAAGCCATGGATCAAGCCCTAAACAGAACAAGAAATCAACACAGATCCCACTGAAATGTCACCAGGTCTGGGAAAACCAATTACTTCATTATTGTAATGGTGTTACTCTGACAAAACAGACTCCATTATTTTAGAGGTCCTTTCCAACCTAATTATTCTACAATTCAAAATTATTATAAAGTAACCAGATGAAATGTACTTTCCTGCTTACAAGCAACAACAAATGAGACATGAAGGATCTTTTCCAACCAAAATGGTTCTATGAACATTCTGCTTCTGAATTTTACAGCTGCAGCCACCCTGAGGAGCAAGAAAGCAGCACAATGCCTGTTCTCCAGCAACACTTTGTTCCTCTTGCAAGACACATTCACAGCTCCTCTGTCCTCCCTGGCACTGCTTCTGCCCTCTGGCAATTGATAACCCTGAATTCCACTTCCAACATCTTGCTGCTTCCTTCGGCCGCACTCACAGGAGTGGAAAACAGCTTTTCTGAGACTCATTAGTTTCATCTGTTGCGTTTTATGCCGTTCTCTTCTCAGAGCAAGAAATGTCCATGGGAATTGGGAGGTTAAAGGGAAAACAAGGAAACTGGAAACAGGGTAAGGAAAATGTCTACCATGAATTTTACAGGATGGGTAGAACAGAGCAGCAACTCCAGAAAACTGTAAAAGGGGAAATTACAGGAAACCTCCCTGGAGAAGTGATTAACCAAAAGGGTTTTCCTCAAATTCCTGGGCTGTGCAGGGAGCGTGCATTATTACTTGTATAAATTCACAGCAGAAAGCTTCAAGCTCTAAAATCTAAAATGAACCAGTAAAAATTAACAATGCAGATGATGAGTAATAAAGTAGCAGAGAGCACAGAGCATTCCCATCAGTCCTGAGCTTCTCCTCCACCACGGGGGAACGCACTGCTGCTCATTAAATGCTCGCCTTCAAGTTTAGGGTTTTGCTACTGTACAAAGTGTGATTTATCACACAGTGTTCCCCCATGTCTAACTCAGCCCTGCTTAACTCCTGTGCTCCTGGTTTATGCCTGCAGCCTGGGCTGTCCAACTGGGAAACTGGGAGGGCAACAATGAAAGCTGCAGAGGCGCCTGTGATAAATGGTGGGACCTGAGGTCTTCAGTGAGGGGTTCCTGTGGAAGCTGGGGAGCCTTGCTGCTTCCAGAATATAAAGAATCAGTCAGAAACAACACTATATTAATGGAGTAAAAAAAACCCATGCCTCACTTCAAGCCACATTTATTTTACAACTCTGCAAGCAGTTGGCTGGTTTTTTTTTTTAATGCCTGCTTTTTGCATAACACTGTGCATACTGTAGTGATGTATTCCTAGAGCAGCAAAGATTTCTTTCTGTTTTCTGCAGTCTTTTGCATCTTTTCTGTTTACAACAGATCATTCAATTCCTGGTACTGAGATATAAACCAAGCTTAAAGCATCTATATATCAGAACTCAAAATAAAATAGATGCACACAGGGCTTTTTTATGGTAAGTTGTAAAAAAACACCCTTTAAGAAATTAAAAGAGTAAGAGGCAGGAAGAAAGAGATGAGGGAAGGAAGCAATGTGGGAGTGTGTTGCCCTCTTCCTGCATCTATCCACATCTTTGGCATATACAAGTGAAGGCACCTGGTCATTTAAGAAAAGAAGTTCCCAAAATGGGTCAAATTCCTTGATCAGATGGGTGTAAATTCAACAACAGCCTTAGTGAGAATGAAATTAATAATCAAACAATTATTGATTGCAGCAATTAAAAAATAATATTTGCCCTGTGTCCAGACCAGGCTCCAAATAAGCTTTTGCTGCCATTGCACACAGCTCCACCAAAGGCAAACTTGGGAGGAACTATAATCTTTTGGGTTACCTGGCAATGTTTTTACCAACTTTAAGGGTTTTGATTAGAGATCTCTCCTCCTGTACAAAGTGTCAGGTTGGGAACCGCTATAGAAGTCTCTGCACAAGTGAGACAAACTATTCCTAGGATGAAGGTGTATGATGATGGCAGGGAGGAGGGTGTTATCATGGTCATAAAGACCATGTGGATGGAAGGGTGGAGGAACTTGCAGGTCCCCCAGAGAAAGAGCAGGTAAATGTAATTCCTCATAAAACATAAGTGATCAATGTGTATAACACTGAAAAGTTGGAGAGAGCAATTTTGTGCAGAGATGAAGGACAAAATTGAGTGAGTGAGTAAGTGAAGCAGACAAACACCAAGCAGCCTTTAGAGTATGTACCTTCCAGGTGCAGCCACATCAGCCGTCCTTTCACTGAGGTGATGGAAGCCACACAAATCTCTGCAGGGTTCCTGGGGTTCACTGCCTCCAGCTTCATGTTCTTGGTGAAGCCACGGCTGAAGGATGTCTGAAAGAGGCAATAAACAATGCTGAAACACAGCACTGCAGCACTGCACAACTTCATCCAGACTGTCTGCTGGGAACAGACATGGTTTGCTTTCAGCTGGAAGGGCAGCTGAAGAATGCAAAGGCATCCAGAGCCCAATCAGAGCTAAGCTGGTGCAGCCCAGGGTGAGGCAGCTGCGCCCCTGCAGCAGATGGGGGTCTGCAGGGGAGCAGAGACCCATGTGCTGCCCCTGGAGGATCCCTGTCACAGGAGATGGATACCCAGAGGAGTATCCATCCTCTGACCCTGGAGAGAGGAGCCCATGCAGGAGCAGGTTTGCACCAACTGGAAAACTCAATGATGAAATGCATGTCATCATGTTCTATTCCTGACTCCTAGGGGACTGGGAGGAGGTTGCTCCACATCGGCTCCAAGGATGACTGAGTCTTTGCCAATTACGCATTTTCTGTTAATGTGATACTACCCAGAGGGTTCCCAGAACTCCTGTGCTTAAGCATCTCTCACCTTGCTAGGAGAAACCTTATAAAGCAAAAAAAACATCTTGCTTGAGATCAGAGAAACCTCTTCAAGCATGCAGTCACCCAAGCTGACTGAAGCTGAAGATACCTGAATAACCTTTTCCAGAATGCTTTACTTCATGGAGTTTTCATGGATGGACCTCTGAGCAACCAATCTAGTGGGTGGCAGCAGTGCCCATGGGATGGGAAGATTGGAAAGACAGTCTTTAACGACCCTTCCAACCCAAACCATCCTGTGATTCTATTTTAAGCTCAATGAACAAAGCTTTCAGGTACACTGAGTAGGGTGTAAATGGATCCAGCTGTGCTCATTGCCACTGCTCCTTCCAGTGTCCCCTCCTGTCACTTATTCTCAGTCCCTTCCCAGTATCTCCCCACCACTGTCCCTGCAAACACACTAATGCAACACCTGTGTCCATACCAGGGCTTCCTCTCCTTGGATTTCCCTCCCTTCTGTTGCACCTGCTCTGCATCTCTCTGCACACAGTAGCACAGAAAGGGCTCCCTCTCTGGGATGAGAGTTTTTACTAATAATAATTGGGATGGGTAATAATTGCCACTAACTCAAAAAGACACCAAACCCTCATCCTGAAAGCCAGGCTCAAATTCAACCCTTCTCCTATTGATACAACACCAAGGACCATGGGCACTTCACCTTGAGAGCTCTTTGAGAAACTAAACACTCATGGCTTTGGTCTCTTTTCCATCCTAGAACATGCTGCTACTCTCAAGCACACCTTGGACTGCCTCAAGCCTTGCTCAGCACACAGATCAGCTTCACCCTGCAAAAGCTGCTAATGGCCAGGGCTGCAGGAATGCAGGCTGAGTTTGTTTAAATGCCTTTTATGTTGCCTAACAAGGAAATGCCATTTATCATCACCCTGGCTCCTTTCATTGCAGTTCAGTGCTGGAGGCTCATTTATACAAAATCAATGGCAAAACAGTTAGGTGGAGTTTATTTTACTAAGCATTTGGGCACGTCAATCCATTCCATAACTGCCTCTCCTTGTTAAAAATCCCTCCTGGGGAAACAGCTCCAGCACCTCCACTGCCAGCACCACGTCTGGCTGCACGAGGTGGGAGATGCAAAAACATCTTCCATCAAAGAGCCCCTCACAGCCACAATTCAAGGGGATCAGCCAGCCAGGAGGCTGCACAAGTGATAGCAGAGCAGCTCCCTCTGAAAAGAATTGTGTTATTGAGAGTGGAAGAATAAGAGACACATGTTCATTTGGTGAATGTTTCCTTAAAAAAAAAAAAAAAGGACCAAAAAATGCCCAGACCTGACTTAATCTTAGAGGATACTATGCAGAAACTTTTCTCTGCTGAGAGAAGAGATTCACTACTTGGCAAAATTAAAAGAGATATGAAGAAAGGGTAGGGATGCTTGCAGAAGAGAAATGTAAAAATAACCCCACTGTATTTGTGTGATGCAGCTTCCCTCAGGACTGCTGGAAATCTTTGCTTTAAGTCCTTTCAGGAAAAGGGCCTTTATGGGGCTAAGAAATCCTTACCCTGGTTTGACTCCCAAGTCAGACTGTTCATGGTACTGTGAGTTCATCAATAAAAAATTGACTAATTCACCATCAAAGCTTCCAAGCCAGGCTTCCCCTAGGCCACCACAGATGAGGAAGGCCATGGAAAACCAGAGCTGGTGCCTGTCTCCATTCTGCTATCCATAAACACCACATCCCTCAGTCCTGTGATTTCTGAGCCCAGTGAAAATCTGTACAATTCCTACAGAAACCTGTGTGTTCATCATTCACCACATCACTTCATTTTGCAAAGCTTTCTGTGCTCATTTTAGGTGCACTAACATTTAGGTACCACCATCAGGAGTATTTTCAGTTATTGATGGGATCTCAACCTCCATCAGCTGATGGGCACATGAAGGAGAGCACCAGGTTGCTGGGAAAGGCAGAAGGCTGCATCTGCCTTTCCCCAAGCAATGAATCAGACTGATGTCAGATCAAGCCACACAGGACTGTCACTGTCATAAAACAGCCTGCAAAAGATTATTTCAAAAGCTGTGAATCTTAATGGCATCCATCACTCTCACATCACTGTTGCTGCATCAGGGAAGGACATGAACTGTCCCAAGGACCAGAACATCCATGAGGGTTAATCATCATCTCCTACATTTTTAACATTTAGCATTTTAATACATGTGGTTTGGTTTCTCTGTATCCCTGGGATACAGAGAGAACACCTGAAATGTAAAAAAGGACAAATGATACTATGCAATTTCTTTACCTGAATTATTTTTAGTAGCACTTGAATTAATAGCAATAACCAGATGAGATCCTTATAGTGCTGTACAAAACCAGAGAGGGGATGAAGAGCAGGATAATTACAGATAAAGACAAGACTAAAATAAGTTTTTTCACTTTTAGGGATGGAAACATGGAATATTCCCCCAGTTTCCTTCCTAAGGCATCCTCATGGTGCTCTGGGAGGCACCCCTCAAAGCCTTGCAGCAGCTTTTCTGTGCAAGCTGTTTTGTTTCACATGGCTGGACAGGAGCAAAAGGAAGAACTTACGTTTCTAAAGCACAGGTGAGGTGCTGCCTCAGCTCCACACTGCTTCTGGTAGTCTGCCCAGTCAAAGTCCTGGCCAGAGTAACCTGCAGGAGGGCAAAACAAAAAGAGCCATCAGCCACCACTCCACACCACAGAGAGAGGACAAAACAGACCACAAGCAGATGAATATTTGTGTTTCAGCATCTCATCCTGCCTCAGTGACCCCTGCAGTGTCAGCAGAACCCCTGGTCACACAACATGAGAGCCAATGGCTCCTCCAGCTCCACTCACACATCTGCATTTCACTGCCAACTCTCCACCAAAAAGTAGTAAGACATAATTATTTCCCCTTTTTTTCCTTTTATGTGAGCATCTCCCAACTTTTAACAAACCCATAACTAATGAAATGCCACTGTGCCAGATTTCCACATGGGAAAATAGACTTCTTTGTCCTGCTTTTAGCTGTATAAAAGGTGGACAAGGTGATGGAGCTGGACATGGGATATCTGCTGCTTCCTCAGGAGTGGAGAGGGAGGGGATCAGCATAATCAGGAGCTGATCCATCCTCCCTCTCAAAGCAGGAGATAAATTCCCCTCTCTTCATTCATGTACCCTTCCTGACTGGCTCCCCAGCAGCTCAGGGTGTGTGAGCTGAATCCCATCACAGTAAAAATGTTACAGAAATTTGGAGCAAAGCAGGAAAATGAATGCAGATCTCCCTCAAACAGCCTCAGCAAGCAGATCATCCCTTCAGCCTCTGCTTCCAGGTAAAGTCAAGAGATTCCTTTATATGAGCATCTCTCAAGGAGTTCCATCACAGAAAGACAAATCAGATCTCTGCTCATCCACTATTCCTATTTGGCAATTTAGCAATAAATTCTTGGGACAGAAATGTCAGGGTTTTTTTTTAATTTGCTTTTGTGGGCTTTTTTTGGCTTGCCTCTTAAGTCTCTATTTTTGCAGTGCTTGAAACCAGTGAGTGCTAATCCTGTCCAGGGGCTTGAGGATACTCTAATGACATTACTGCAGAACTACTCCTACTGGAAAGTTTCAGGAGTCACCCAAAGGCCAAATTCTCCCCTCAATCTCCCTAGAAATCTCAGCTTGGCCTCATTTCACAGAACACCCCTAAATGCCTTTTGCATTGACAGTCAAAAAGGGACACTCAAGACCAAATGTGAATGAATCATTTATGACAATGAAAATTGTGGCTTTTTTTTAATAGGCAAGGACTGGAATACTGAGTATAATCCCCTACCAGTCTGCCAGATCCCAAAAAAAGGAGGCAAAATTTTTGCAAACAACATGCCAAGCATCCTGCTAAGATCCAAGTATCTTGGATAAGATGATTTCTATTCCTAGTAATTGCATTCATGATAAGCAAATTACTGAGATAAAGCCTTGAGCTATGATGCCTGTCTCTGTGGGGCATGAAAGTGCATAATAATTAAAAAACTAAACATGCACAGGGAAGGAAAAAAGGGTAGTTATTTATAAAAAATGTTCTTTTTTCATACACAAAATATCCTTGCAATGTTTTTCAACAATTTCTGCAACAGTATTTTCTTCACACTTTGTGGTGTGAGGGTTTCTAGGATGAGGTGAGAGATGAGAATCTGGTTTCTTGTTTTCAGAAAGCTGATTTATTATTTTACTATATTATATTAAAAAATGCTATACTAAAACTACACTAAAGAAAGAAAAAAGATACAACAGAAGGTTTAACAAGAATAAATAATAAAACCCTGTAATTCCTCAGAACCTTGACACAGCTAGACCATGATTGGTCATTAAATTAAAACAATTCACATAGAACCAATCAAACATTCACCTGTTGGTAAACAATGTCCAAGCCACATTCCAAAGCAACAAATACAAAAGCAACAATCAGACAATTATTGGTTGTATTCCTCTCTGAGGCTTCTCAGCTTCCCAGGAAAAAAATCCTGGGAAACTAAACATTTTCAAAATATATCATAGTGACAGCACTTGATCTCTTTTTTTATCTCCAATTCAAACCCCTCGTGGATGGGTTTTGCATCTTGATTTTAAGCTACGCAGATGTTAACAGAGTGGATGGAAAAGACCCACTAGAGGTGTTTTAGTGAGGTACAAAAACCAGACTGTGCTGTCACCACACAACTGCCCCTCTGTGCCCTGCACCACTGGAACCACTGGAAGCCTTTTCCTTCAGGCTTCAGCAGGAATGGAAGCCAGGAGGGCAGCGGGGAAGGTAAAAATAATTCCCCACAGCAGCACAAGGAGGGTTCTAAGGGAGGAACACCCAGGAATTGATTTCTCATGAACCATCTCCTTTCCAGGGTGTTTGGAAGCCTTTTTTTTGGGTTCGCAAGATTCCAAGGGGAACGGAATGTTGCGATTTCAATGGGGACCAATAGAGGAATCTTTGATGCATGTCTCTGCCCTTGATGGCATGCCATGCCTTTTGATGGCTTTGACTTTGGGAAAGATTTTTTCTTTTTTTTTTTTAAGTATCCATGCCATGTCCCTCATATCTTCCCCTTCATCTTGTGTCTTCCTCTGATTTTTTTCCCCTGCTTTTGCAACATCTGTGAGCTTCGTTTTGGCCTGGTTTGGTCCTTCGCACTGCACTTGATATAATCCCAGTCCATTTTCTTAGAGTCACTAAATTTCCCAAATTTCTTTATTTTCCCTCTCCAATTACAATTTCCTTTGATGGTATCTCCATTCCAGAGTGTTCCTAAGTCCATCTTTTCAGTTTTGGACTTAAGTGGGGATCAATTTTGGCAAGCTTTGCTGCATGTGCCTGCCCTTGATGGCATATGTCCTGCCTTTTGATGGCTTTGACTTTGGAGAAGATTTTTTCTTGGTTTTTTTTTAAATTTTTTTTTGCTTGTTTGTTTTGTTTTGTTTTTTGTTTTGTTTTTGTTTGTTTGTTTTTTGTTTTAACTATCCATGCCACGTCCCACATATCTTCCCCTCCAAGTTGTGTCTTCCTCCTTGACTTTTTCTCCTGCTTTTGCAACATCTCTGAGCTTAGTTTTGGCATGTTTTGGGCCTTTGCACTGCAGCTCATTTCCTCACAGACAATTTTTTGAAAACACTAAATCTCCCAGTTTTCTGGGGTTTTTTTGGGTTTTTTTCATTTGGACTTCAAATGAGCCCTGACTTGTCTGTGGCCTTTGCATGGTGAGGCTGTACCTCGATGGCTGTCGCCAGTTCCAGGCCTTCATGGCCACAGAGCAGGAATGGAACCCGGGAGTGCAGCTGGGGAGGTAAAAATAACTCCCTGCAGCAGCACAGGGAGGGTTCCAAGAGGGGAACACCCAGGAATTCACTTTAGACGAGCCATGATTTGTCTGTGGCCTTTGCATGGTGAGGCCGCACCTTGAGGGCTGTGGCCGGTTCTGGGCCTTCATGGCCACAGAGCTCTGGAAGGGCTGGAGCTGCCCAGGGAAGGGATGGAGCTGAGAAGGGTCTGGAGAACCTGAGGGAGCTGGGAAGGGGCTCAGCCTGGAGAAAAGGAGACTCAGGGATGACCTGGTGGCTCTGCACAAGTCCCTGACGGGAGGGGACTATTGTATTGCAGAATTTGCCCCAATGAAGGAAGGAACTGAATCTGACTCCATGCTCTCAGAAGGCTAATTATTATTTTATGATACTATATTATATTAAAGAATACTAAAGAATACTAAACTAAACTAAACTAAACTATACTAAAGAATACAGAAAGGATACTTACACAAGGCTAAAAAGGTAATAATGAAAACTCATGACTCTCTCCAGAGTCCTGACACAGCTTGTCCCTGATTAGCCAAAGAATCAAACAACTCACAGCAGAACCCAATGAAACAATCACCTGTGGATAAATAATCTCCAAACACATTCCACATGTGAGCACAACACAGGAGAAGCAAATCAGATAAAAATTTGTTTTACTTTTTCTCTGAAGCTTCTCAACTTCCCAGGAGAAAATCCTGGGCGAAGGGATTTTTCAGAGAATGTGAATGCCACAGGGGACAGCCAGGGGGATCGGGCTGTGCTCCAAGGGAACAGGGACAGGAGGAGAGGGAATGACACTAAGCTGTGCTAGGGGAGGATCAGGGTGGATATTAGGAAGAATTTCTTCCTAATATTGTCTTCCTAATATCTTCTTCCAACTTAAAGGGTTGTCAAGAATTGGAATGGGCTTCCCAGGGAAGGGGCAGAGTGCCCACCCCTGGAAGTGATAAGAAACAACTGGACACTCAGTGCTGTGGTGTGGATGACAAGGTGGCCATCAAAAGATGGATTCAATGACTCAGCCTGCCTGGAGGTCTTTTCCAACCTCACTGATCCCTGATTCTGTGGTCCTGCTCCCAGCTGCCTCCCTCAGCACACAGGGAGGTACCAGGTACCCAGTGCCTCCATCAGCACGTGGCACTCACACCCTGCAAGGCTCGGCCCAAGGGACAGCACTGAAAGCTGTGTTTGCACAACTCCTCAAAAATGCAACACCTTCACCATGTTTGTCACCTCAGCTCTGGGCATGGAAGAGCCCAGCATGAGAAGCTAATTCAAAGCAAATATAACAACACAAATGTACTGGAGGATTTGGAAGTGGCTTTTTCTTAGTAAGCTTTACAACAAGGAACATTATCAAAATGGGGTTTTTTTCCCCACTTAATAATAGCTCATAAAACAATGATTGTTACTCTAAAGGGAAGTGGTCTATAAATCCTGCTCTAATAAATATAAACAGAGCTTGTTCAATGTTTATACAGCAGCAGTTAATGGGTATTCATTTTTGGCACTGTACAGGAAAATACTGCTCTCTATTTCGAGTAGCAAATATTTGCACCTCCTGTTCATGACCCATTTACTCTTTGTTTGTCTTCAATAAAGCCCTGATAAGCAAAAAGGAAAGAGAATGGATATCAGACAAATAAAGAACTCCAAACTCTAATATCCCAACCTGGCATATTGTTCTGACCAAAAAAAAATCAGTTGATTTTGAGATCAGAAAACCTCCTTGTCAAGCCTATATTAAACAGGGGTTTGGATGCTTTTCACTTTCCATCTGCTTTCTTTTTTAGTGGTTTTGGGGTTTTTGTTGTGTTTAGTTTGTGCTTATTTTCAAATGACTCATTCTAATATCTGATTACATTTTAGTAACTCAAAAAAAGTGTCTGCCCATAGAAAAGGTTTTAAGGTGCTAAAATTCAGTGTGGACATGCAGCCCTTATACACAGTATAAAAAATACAGCAACACATAGAATGCATCTATCTGCCACTGGCTTTTTGCTTTTTTAATAGCTTTCCCCCAGGATTTCTGATCTCAGAGCAGAAAGCCAATTTGATTTTCACCAGGGGAATACGGACAGACTTTCTGCACCTCAGGTGCCCAGGTGGATCCCAATAACCAAGCACCACACAAGATCACAGAAACACAGAATGGTTTGGGCTGAAAGGGGCCTGGGGGGTGACCCAGTTCCACCCCTTGCCATGGGCAGGGACACCTCCCACCAGACTTGGCCAAGCTGAAAAATATTCACATGACAGATGCTTCAGATACGCCTTCAAATGTTGGCATCTAAAATAGACTTCACACACACTTGACCTATAAACCAGCATCTCAGACAGGCTTTGTGTCAGCATGGACTGGAAATTTTTAAGCCTTATGGTCTCCTTCAGTTAATTATCCTGCCTGGACAAGCTGCATGTAAATTTTGGAGGAAAATCCCCAAAATATTCCATTTACTTTGATTTCTAGCAACTTTTCTGGCCAGTATCAGTGAGTGCTTACACAGGCATTATCATTACACCTGGGTTTCAGCAGGAGAGAGCTGAAGCCCCAGACAGCAGATTTATTTCAGCAGAAGCAGCAGAGCAATCATGGATGCACTGTATTCAGCTGCAGGCACAGGGCTCCAGGACTTTGGTGGGAATTTCAAATTACACTCTGGATATACATAAGAGGATTCTGAATCTGGTAGGGAATAACCCTTCCCTTCCCTGGCTTTGGCAGCATCATGCTTTTTCCAAAATGAAGGCAAAAGCTCATACACAAAACTCAGCTTAATTTTTTTTTTTTTTGAGGCATTTCTTACTCCCAAGCAACATTGATTTCTGGCAACAGACCAACAACCCAGCCAGCTTCAAAAACCTGAAATTCCAGGGAACCAACATATTCTGCAAGCAAAGAAATATTGCTAGGGCACCACAGGTGGTTGTCTGAAGTTGGGAGTAATTAACTGCAGTGCTGCAAAGTTGAGGAACAGCAGGGCTGGAGGCTGTTTCTCCTGGCTGTGACCTGAACACTGCTTGCAGTGTGCCCTGGGATTTGTTGAGACAGCCAAGGAAATCCCTCCACACTCCTGGGCAGGCAGCTGTTTTTAGCTCAGACATCCAGATTTAGGAGCTCTGCTTGGCCTCAGTGTTGTACTGACATGGATGAAACAGGGTTTGCCTCTACAGTGATTGGAGTTTTAATGCTGCTTTTGCTCTCTACACACACAAAGAACTGCTAGGATTCATCCCACAGGAATTCATGACGATTTCACAAACCTTAATCAGACTTCAAAGCACAGGGACATCAATCCACCAGCAAGAAACATTTGCTGAGATGTTCATGTTCAGAACAGCCCCAATCACTCCAGAGAACTACTCTGGCTTGAGATACTTCAGCTGATGCTCTGCAGCAACCACCGGCACAATTTTAAAGGCAATAATAGCAAGCAAACGTGCTTCAGAGTAAACCCAAAAAATCACTGAGAAGGAATACAAACCCTTGGGAGGTGTGAGATTGACTCCATTTTTAAGGCACCACTGTATTGGCAAGATCCCCAAGGAATCTGCATGGCAAAGCATTGAGATTTTGCTGGGTTCAGGTCTCAAGTCATCAATGGTCACTTGTAAATAATGATTGTTAAAAACCTAAGGGGTGAAAAAGAAGAGACCAAAATCAGGGCTTAGATTTGCTGCAAACATTAGGTAACATAGAAAGCTGAAACAGTCAAACCTGGGAATCAAACTACTGAAAATAATTTGCTTTCACTTAAATCTTTGCATCAAAGTGTTTCTACCCAAGAGATCAAAGCCTAAGTTTTAGAGATGGGTGAAATGAAGCAATGGAAAGTGCTGAGGTTCAGGGTCCCACAGCTGAGCAGCAGCTGGAGATGATCCTGAAGACCCCAGAGCTTTCCTCTCTCTTGTATTTGAGTGTGTGGATTAAATATCCAGCCACCACCTCCATGCAGCTGTTTTATTTCCAAAGGTTTCTCAGATGGGCAGGGAAAATACATATGGATGGAGGGGAGATAAAGACAAAAGAGGGATCCTTTTTTTTTGCATGTAAGTGGTAGATGAATGTGCTCATTCCCATTGGTTTTGAGTGCATGGAATCAGCTGGTGATGTATGTGAGAAAGAAAGAATTAATTAGGAACATTCATGGATTTTAAACCTATTCTTTAATGTGTTCTCCAGCCACTTAAGAATCACTCCTTTTTTTAAAAGTACCTTCCTAATTTCCACTACATTTTTTCCTAAATGCAGAGGAAATCAGGAAGGGTTTCCCAGACAAGTTCTTTCCATCCCTCCTTTCTGAGCACTCACCTTGGTCACTGATGCAGGACAGATATGAAATGGCTCCCTCATATTCACTGCCTCCAGCTTCATCCCCACAGTGAAGAAGTGGTTTCTCAAATCAGCATGGTCCTGTGGGAAGAGGAACATGTGGTGACACCAAGAAGCAGCCAATACATCTGAAAATCTGTTTGAAAGACATCCCATGTGGGTTTTGTCAGCTGGTCCTGTGTTCCTTTCATGTCAACCCAACCACAGAAAGAGAGGGGACAACCTCAGTCCTAGAGGACATATCTACAGCACCAAGCCCATCATACCTAAAGCACAGAGTTTATGCCCATCTCAGGCATCCCACCAGAATTTGGTCCACAAGGAGATTGTGCTCACCAAAGTGAGGACCTGGCTAAGGAACTGCTGCTTGAAAATCTCCTGTGGGCAGAGCCTCTCCACCTCTGCCACCAACATCACCCTCTGGGAGCAACTGAGAGTCCAGAGGTGCCAAGACTCAAACTGAAGCCCTCCAGAGTAATGCACAAGATGGATGCAAACAGCTCAGCATGGCCCTGATTTACCCAGATGGATGTCCAGCACCTGCAGGGCACCAAAACAAGCACTGGGCTGGAAATATGGAAAGGTATTTTTTTCCAGCCAGGAGACTGGAAATGGATTAGAGCCTGGACAGTGAAAGCAGACCCAAAATGTGGGCAACCAGAGAAGATGATGGTAGGAAAACAGGCAGCTGTGTTCAAGCACATCCCCAACACAACACTTCCACCTGGGATAAAACTTGGCTGCACCACAGGCTACACACAGAGGGCTCCCCACAGCAGCTCTGGGGATGCAGAATGCAGTCCTGAAATTCAGGAGCAACCCAGATTCAACTCCCTGGTTTGCCACCAGTTTAGTTTAACACCTAATTACTCCATCCCTTGTGATCCCTATCTAACAGCCACACAAGCTGCCAGCCTAATTCCAGGGTAATGACTGCATTTTGTGTTCATTCAATAAAAATGTCCCACAGTATTTCTAAACCACTGGTGCATTAGCCAATACAAGCATGAAGAGAGATGATGCTGTATTTAGCACACACTCACAGCCTACTCCAAAATACATGCAGAAAGCTTGCTATCGAATAAGTGGTTAGCAACAACAATCCCATCTACATTCATTGCTACACATGGTATTCTTGCTCTAAAATGATTTTCTATTGATCCAAAGTTGTGTTTCATTGTGCTTTCTTTTCCCAAGAACTGTCTGCACTTGTAAGGGCTTAACAACTTCTATTTTGGGATCTTCCATTCCAACTGCTGCTAGAGATAAGGATTTTTACAAGCTCCAACCACAGCTAAATGAATGGTTGTTTTCATCCTACCAACCTGCAGTGTTACTGAGCCCTTTTTGGTGAGAAACAAGAAACAGAAAAAACCAACAGAACAATAATGAATTTTGTCTCAAAGCAGAAGAAAATACTGATGAGGAATATTTAAGAATAATGGCCCAGAGCCCAAAGGACTAATGGTTGAGGATGGAGCAGACATCCAGGAGTTTGAGCATCCTTTTCATACGGGCTGCAATGATAGGATGAGGCAGAGTGGTTTTAAGCTGAAAAAGGCAGATTTAAATCAGATATTAGGAACAAATTCTTTACTGTGAGGGAACTGAGTCACTAGGAAAGGTTTCCCTGAGAAGTTGTGGATGTCCATCCCTGGAAGTGTTCAAGGCCAGCAACCTGGGATAGTGGAAGGTCTCTCTGCCTGTGGCAGGGGAGTGGAAGGAAATGAGCTTTAAGATCCTATCAAAAACTGCCACCTTTAATACTGAAAAAGCTTCAGAGGGAGAAGATGATGGCTGCAAAACTCCAGTATCATCAGCACTGAACTTTAAACCCCTAAAGGAAAAATAGCATCTGGACTGGAGGGCTGCCTCCTCCTGCATGAGGATCCACACTCTGATTCTCTTAATCCTCAGGGTGAGGTTGTAAAGAAAAAGGACCTTTGCAAAATGTGCACCTGGAATCAGCATCTCCCCACAAACGTTCCATGATTCAACTCACGCTCGGATCCAGCCTCAATGTGTAATAAGCCAAGATCCACCAAAGTACTTAATCATGTTTATCTTTAAACACACAAGTAGTTTAATCAACTTTTAAAGTGATTTGTTGATTGAGACCAAAATATACTGACACCAAACCACACTGCTTCTCCTTTTTATCTGAACCATTTTCTTTGGTGTTTCTCCTTCTATTTGTTTTGGCTTTTTTTTCAAAGGGGAAAAATAATCAGACGGGGAAAAAAACCTCACTAATAATATTTAAAAGTATTTTACTTCAAAAGCACTGTGTACCTCGGGATCAAATCTCCCTTGTCTTTCAGCACAGCAAGTAAATATTTTTCCCCATTAAATTAGTAGCAAGAGTGAACTCACAAGGGGAGTTCACAGGATCTCAAGTACGTCTCCCTATTGAGGGTCAAAATCCTCTTTGAAGCAGAAACTTGCATTTCTTTTGAGAAATGCTGAGGATGTAAAAGCCCTTTCTGTGTTAAATGTCATTTTTGAGATGGAAAAGCTTTCATGGAGAAAAAGCCTTTGTACTGCACCTCTCTGGAAAATAGTCAGGGTCTGGATATTTGATCTGTCTTGTATACCGGCTAAAGAGAATCATCAGAATTTACCAAAGCAGTTTTATATTTTTGCAGCCACAAAAGGAAAGAAAAAAGATTCCTGATGCCATTCTCTGGTTCCAGTGCTGGAGCTGCCTCAGCCAGCAGGGAATTACTTAGGATTTGGCATATGCTCCTCTTCAAAACTCCAATTAATTTACATAATTTCTAAGAATAGGTTCCAGAGAAGTGATGGCAAAGCTTTTAATTAGTATTAGACTCAAAGTGATACACTGGATAATGAACTGCTCTCTCTTCCCTTTATTCACGTTGACAGGAACGACGCCTGTTTAATAAAAGCAGCTACAAGGAAAGGACTGGAGGGGTGAGACTTTCTCCTGGTCCCTGCCAGGCTCTGCAGCTGAACAAAAGAAATGCCTGACATGATAATGGGTGGCAGAATTCGACCCTTTGCTGCTATTTCACAGCATTCAATGCCACCAGCGAGGATGTCACCAGCCATTATTTTCCAGCAACTTCTCCGAGTGACTCAATTTCCTTTGAAATGGAGATCAACAGGCAGAATAGTTTTGACCAGCTGGAGCATTTTAAAGCCTCATGCATGGTGGGCTTTTACTCCTGCTGGCTGTCAGTGCTTCCCAGGAGCAGCCTGGCTGACCACACAGAAGTTTGCTCTGGATATTAGGAAAAATTTCTACACTGAATGGGCTGCCAAGCATTGGCACAGGCTGCCCAGGGAAGTGCTGGAGTCACCATCCCTGGAGAGATTTAAAAGTTGTGCAGATGTGGCATTTGGGGACATGGTTTACTGGTGGGCTTGGCAGTCCTGGGTTAATGGTTGGATTCAATCTTGGAGGTGTTTTCCAAACTAAATGAGGCAATGATTCTGTGATTCTATAATTTACACCAGAGGATTGCCTGTCCTGGGGTTGTCCTCACAAGCCCTGAGAGGGCAATGCAAACACCCTCTGGCTGCTGAGGAGCAGCCAAGTGACCTGGACTGACAATCAACAAAGGTTCAGAAGAGTCCCTCAGAGCAAAGTGAAAAACCGTGCCACAAAACATTCAACAAATTAACGTGGCACGGGCAGCACAGCTGCTCACTCCAAGGGCCACAGTCTCCAACATGATGGATTACAGCTCAGGGGTAATGAGTGGAGCACTGCAAAAGCCCTCAATGAACGTCTGTCACTCACAGTCCAAACCCACTGGCAACAGCCAGAGCTGTCACAGCTCTCACTATAATCCCAAAAAAAGCAATTAAACTCACCCCCATGCTCACAGCCTTAGAGCAGGGGGTGCATTTGCAAATGCACAGGCTGTGACCCTCTGGGCCACCTGAAAGACAGCCCTGCTTTGATACACATCTGCACCATGATTTCCATCTTTTCATGGCTGGTGTTTCTGTAATTATCCTGCAAAAATCACTGATGGGCTTTGTAACAGCTCACTGCATCCAGCATCACACACAGAACTGGGAACTGCACATCTGGAGGTCAACTAACAAGTTAGCCACAGTACTAGGAGCAGAAACAGGCTCCAAATTCCCAGGTTAGGGAGTTTATTCCCTTCCCAAATTCCCTTCTTTCTTTAGGGTCTGAGATAGCCACATAATTTTCTCCCTCACAGCTAACAAGCCACCAGCAGTGTGGATTTCAGAAATGCCAGGAGACATGGCAGCCTAAATGTCACTCCAAGAGAGATCCACAAACAGATTTAGAAAAGCACTGCAACTCTTCAGGATCTGAGGAAGCCTTAGGGAAGTACCTGTGTGGGTGACATGCTTAAGTCCTGATAATTAGGTCAGTAAGTTTTAGTTTTAGGTGATGGACTCAGAAATTTCAAAATCATCATCACTGCCATTTGCCCAACCTGGTAGCTAAATACCAGGTCAACAAATGTAATTTCTGCTAAAAAATGCCATTTGGCTGTAAATAAACTCAATTTTGTCCCTGTCACAAGAGTGGAGCTCAGGTAATTTTACAGTGCACTGGGTAAAGCTGATAGAGCAGGGGGATCTGGCTAAGCTGCTTTTGTCTGTGACACTCAGGGAAGCTGCACTCTGACAGAGCTGGCTGCTTTATCTGTGTCCCCAAAACCAAGGAAGGGCATCGCTTTCAGATTGTGAAATGTCCATTTTTAGCCCATTCTGCTCAAGACCACTGGAGTAATATAATTTTAAACACAGCAGCTTACGTAGTGTATGAAAAGAGCAAAAGGCATCTAATTTGCATTTGCATCTAATTTTCAAATTTCAGGCTTATTTTCAAATATTTTTGGAAGTCAGGGCTCTTCTGGTCCAGGACAGTCAAATGCACACAATTTACAAAACTGCAACTCCATGTAAAATTCAGAACTAAGTCTGAATGCTAAAAAGCTGCAAGGTTGAGAGGGTAATTAGAAACACTGACCACTTAATAAATTACTGACCTGAGCCTCCTTTAACAGTGTGAACTACTCTTGCCTTCAGTCCCATCTCTCCTGGTTTACCCCAATAAAGGACACAGAGGA